TCATTATAATAATTAAGATCATGCATAAAATTAAATAAACAAACAAATAGTAAAAAAAACATGGCATTATATTTATGTGTAATAAGAATAAGAATTTTTTTTTTCTTCTTAAACGAGCATAATGAAGTTTGATAGTGAGTACAAAGAAACTCTATACCATGTGATGACTCTAGCTCATATAAGAAGAAAGAAAATTCAGAGGAAAAAAACATACCAAGAGCAATGTCGTGCTGATAACGTATTATATAACTAAGGGAAAATTGTAGAGAGAATTGGAAAATAGAAAGATAATAGAATTTGTGTAAATCAACTTGTATATCTCATGTTGATAAGACCTCTTATTTATAGGCTTACAATGGTAAGACATTAACAACTCATAAGTTACAAGCCCATAACTATGGTATTTAGTGTATATGTTACCTAGAATTAGAAATGGTGAATGCTAAGAGGTATGGTGGTCATCCACCAACTCATGCATTTACAACAATTCTTTCTTTCTTTACTCAAGCTGACGTGGTTTATCCTTTCTTAGATTTCTCGTTTCTTAAATTATTTTCAACATTTGACCCAAAAAAAGAATATATTGAAAAGAGAGTTTATTTTGGATTTGAATAGCTCTAGATGACTAAAAATGCTGAAATTAAATAATAAAAGTAAATTTATAAAATAAACGAATAAGTAAATAAACGAAATGAATGAAAAGCCTATCAACTAATTGGGTTGTGTCGAAGACGATCGCATACTGAAGGAGGGAAAGCAGGTACCCATCAACCGAATTTCTACTGTGTTTTTGTTTTTCCCATCTCTCATCTACTTAAAATATTGCTGCCTCTCTGTTTGGTGGCCGAGAAAGTTCAATGAAACCGCAAAGAAAATAAAATTTCAAAGTTTCTCGATGTTAGTTGGGATCTTAAAATTGGATTCATAGTTGGCAGCAGCGAATTGTTTTCTTGAAATTGAATTTAAATGTATAAGAACTTGGGTTCAAAATTATGGGAATTGGGTAGTCAGCTGTTTGCTTGAAATCGAGTTGGATATTGGATTGAAGTTAATGGGTTAGTTCTTGAAATGACATTGCTTTTTTGAAATTTTGATTTTCACAGTTAGGCATGTAGAGTTGTTCTGTATTCAATTAAATTGAAGTTTTGATGATCTGCAATGGACTTTAAGCTTGATGAATTGTTCCTTAGCTTGGGATGAATGATGGACATTTTTCATAAAGAATATGCTTTGTTAGTTTCATGGGGAAGAAAGGAGTTTGGGTCAATGCTTTGACAGGCAAGGCGTTGATGCGAGGCGTTTGAGTCGCGTTATACGAGGCATAAGCCTTGAAGCAGTAAGGCGTATGCCTTTTGAATATTAATTTATTTGTAAGAAAATTTTATGAATAATACTATACCCATATGTGCTCTTTGATGTATACAAACATACTTTGTTGGCAATATACAACTTAAACTTTCGTATCTCGTGGTTTGTACAACCTCATTACTTCCACTTTATGATATAAATGCATATCTAATGTCCATTCGGGCAGTTTTTGTCCATCACTTCATTATGAGTGACACGAGAATTTCCATAACATGCTTCCACTTCATCACATAAGACAAATTGCAATATGGGATGTATTCGCTTTCATATTTCTGATAGTTGCACTCTATTCGAACATCTTTCCGGCCAAGGTACGCACAACTGCAATTATTTCGCGGTTCACCATATTTCACTAAATATTTTTTCATGAATGTGTGTTGACGAAACATTGATCTCGTTACATACTAATATAAAGAACCTATGTATGTAAATTTGGGAAGCATGTTGCTCAAGAATTTTCAGTGTGGTTGTAAGCACTTTCTTTGACTGTTTTCGGTGGTATGCATTCAAACGACTTAACGCATTTTCTCAAGTAATCTTTCACAAACTTGTTCATACACTCACGCATTGAGTAGTACACATACCACCGAAAAAACTTGGGTGTAAGGAGTGATTTCGCCTACGCATCTCGTTTTGCATACATCATTTGCAGCCATCCTTTTGTTTGTGTGTAGTAACTTTGTCCTTCAAAAACTCTAATTTCTTTTCAAACTCATTGATTGTAATTGGTTCCCAAAGATATACTTGAAATGATCGTACCAATTCTTTATCATTTAAGTTATTATGTGCATTCCTTACCACGTTCCATGAGCACAACTTATGATTGCACATGGGCAACATATACTCAATTGATTTATGCTAATCGCCTCATCCCCATCCGTCAGTATTGATGTAGGCTTCTTGCCTTTCATAGAGGATATGAATGTCTCTAATAACTACTTTTATATTCCAAAGGTCTCGTCAACCAATATGGCACAACCAACACTCTCCCGGTGGTTGTTTGAACCAACAAATAACACTAGAGGCTTGTCATACATATTGGTTTTGTATGTGCTGTCGAATATGAGGACGTCTCCAGAGGCAACATAATCCAAAAGTGAAGTAGAGTGTCTCCAAAACAAGTTAGCAAGCATATTCTCCTCATCTACACTAAACTTACAACAACAAAAAATCAAGATCCACTGACACTTTCTCTTTCATGTAGGCGAGTCTAACTTCAGTGTTGCCGTCTAACAATATTTTCCTACGTGATGCATCAAACTTCTTCCTTAAGGATCCAAGTCCTCAGCTCATGCATTGATGTAGGCTTAAATCCTACACCATATGCGGCAATCCCTTCCACCATAGGTAACCAAAATGGATCATTTACAATATTAAATGGGAGTGCTCTAGAGAAGAAAAAACAACCAATCTTTCAACAAACTTTCTTTCTTTCTTCTTGTTTGTATGCTGAATTTAATGTACTTTGTCGAGCTTCTAAAGTGACAAATCTATCCATTGGTCCTTTTGATTTAGGTTGTGCTCTAAGAGCCTCATCTACTGCAACATTTCTAGTACTGGGGATTTCATATTCTTTATCCAATGAAGTTTCCATACTCTGAGCCCCTCCTCGTGGACCATCCCCAATTTCTCTAAGCATTTCATTTTTCTTTCTTTCTTCAAGCTGAAATTTTTTCAAAGTTGCGGTACACTCTTTTTTCACATGCTCAAGAACTTTCTTACATAGTTGCATACCATGATGAGTCCCCAAATGATGCTTAAGTCTATAAATTTCTCAATTGCACCTTTGATCACAAAATGTGCATCTCAAGTATTTTTTTTCCCCTATATTTCTTTTGCATACTTCCACGCAGGATCTTTTCGATCATAAGTTTGTAATAAAGGGAGTTTCACTAAAACACCCAAAATGGGGGCTGAAATTATAAAAAAAACCCAACACCCAAAACACTTTATAAACACACCCAAAATCCATCATTACACACACTCAAAACCCATTTATAAACACACCCAAAAAATATACAATTGTTGATTTTGAAGTTGATTTTGGGTGTGTTTCTATGTTTAAATAGTGGTTGGATTTTTTTATAAATACATGTCTAGGATTGGGTTTATTTATAAATTTGTAATAAAACAATACCATTAATATTTCTAAGATACAAGTATGATGCATGTACGTCAAATTTCTATTATATCACATAAACGAATAAGATAACTAATATATTTGAAAAAAAATTTATATGGAACCTCAAATTGCAATTGCGAAGAATTAGAGAGAAATAAAATGGCCTAGTTGCAGTCGAAAGATGAAGAGAATTTTTGAAATTGATGGAGATTATTTGGCAATGGTAGAAATTAGGGTTGTACTGTATAATATATATATATATATATATATATATATATACTAGCTCCTTGGCCCATGCTCACGCATGTGCTAATTGGTTATTTTTTGTTATTATTTTTTTAGTATTAAGAAAATATAACATGTTTAGTTATTGTTTGATTTCATTTTTAATTTTAATTTTTTTAATATAAAAATGTGAATTTACCATATTATCCTCATTTAATTAATAATTTCAATTCTTAATGTTTGAATTAATTAATAACATTTTCTGGTATTTTGAATGTTTCACTATTTTCTGTCTTTTGCTTTATATGCAGCCGGCTGGATTTAGAAAATGCAATAAAGATATTAATTCTTCTTGCCTTAAGTTTATTACAATAAAGGTAAATAAGAAAAACCAAAACTTGCGTTTTTTTTAAAATATTTTTTCTATTTAAACCCCATACTTCTCTTAGTTCACCCCCAATACGTAAATCATTAAGCTGTAAATTTTATTATTGTGTAAAAAGACAAAAAAGGTCATCCAACTTAATACTTAACCCTAATACATCTATACACACACCCCACACACCACATGCCTCACAACTCTTCAAATTAAGTTTTAAAAAAATACAAACTCTTCTACATATGCGAGATTACTTTTTTCTTTTAAAGACGTTGAACATTGACGAGCCTACCACTTTGAAATCTGTGCGAAAGCTTATGGAAAGACTTGTTGATTGTTTCGGTATAATGATCTTATTCTCTTCCCTTTGTTGATTGCTTTTTTTAAAACATATATAATCATCAGAAAATATTAGTGACACAAGCAACACAAGTAATAAGCTTTTCCCCCCTGGAAAACCAATTTTCCATGTCTTCAACTTTTAAACACTTAGCAGCCCCACTTTCCTAACTCATACAACCCCAAACCCACCATACAAAAATTTTATCCTCTAAAGGTAGCTTGTGGGGTTTAAATAAAAAATCTCTTTTATTTCTTATTTTTTCAGCTTGGGGTGTATTTAAGTGTAGTTTAAGATAATGGCGTTTACTTAGAAATTGTGAAAATTTAAATTAAAAGTTGGGGTGAACTTAGAACATGGGGTGAACCAAGAGAAGTGTGGGGTTTAAATAGAAAATCTCTTTTTTAATTATCAAAACACTCCAAGTAAAACGACGTCGTTTCATATAGAATATTTTTTTAAACACTGCAATTGAAACGACGTCGTTTCATTACAATAAACCTAAAAAGAGAACAGGCGACTCGTCTTCCTCGCAGAGTCGCAGCCAATTTGCATACTCGCAAAATTTATTCAGGTTCAGAAGTGTCCAGATCTGGCACGCCTCGCTCCGCCTGGCCACGCCTTGCAACACCTCCGTACGCCTTCCCCGCGCTAAACGTGCAACTCGTGAAACAGCCGACCGCCTCTGGTGATTTCCTGCCGCCTCGCTCCGACGCTCTCGCCGACTCGCGCGAAGGCATGCCTTTAAAAACACTGGTTTGGGTCAGATATCTCCAGCATCTCTTTTCCAAAACGCCAAGAGAAGAGTCCTGATCTTTTTCATAATAAACCAATTAATATATCTAAAGGAAAAAGCTTTACTGAGAATTTTATGTTTTATTATGAATTTATCTTTTTCCTCTTGAGGGAGAGAAAGAGACGTTTGGCCTGTTTGGCTGAGTTTTAGAAAACAATATAAATATAAGTTGGGTTTTCAAAAGTAGTAGAAAACGGTTCTTATCACTTGTTTTCAATATTTTTGCAAGTTTTCAACTGCAAACAGGTTCACGAATACCATTCAGTTCTTTTCTGTTTCCAAGCTTGTTTTCCGTAAACCGTTTTAAAACTCGTTTAGGTACGTGTTTTCATATTGTTTTCTGTTTTCACGATTTTTAGTGGCAAGTATTTTTTAATGAAGAATTGAGCATGCCCTTATTGCTTTACTAGTTGTGGTAATTATCTATTCATGTAGAATTAGAATAGATATTAAAATAGACACCAGAGTTGGAGCCCTACAAATTGGCAGTGTGTATTCAAGAGTCCTAATAGGTTTTATGTGTTAGAAAATCAGTGTTTCATTCAATCTGCATTTCTTTATGTACTCCTCTCTCTGCAACAATGTTCCAATTGTTGCAGTTTCGTGGATTTTGTCTTTTGCTTATCATTTCATTTTGGTTATCAAATAATGGTACTATAATTGTTTAGAAAAGTCATCTCATAATTGTTTTGATGTCAAAAGGTGATGTTTTCTAATATCTTTTGGCAGGAAAGTTTGGTTGAAATAGCGTAGGAACTTCATTCATCTTACAGATGGATAATGATAATGATTTCACTTTTTGCCAGGTAATTGTTATATGCACATTTCATTCAAGATCAAGAAAGCTATACCCCTAAAATATGCTCACTGGTTTCAATGAAACATTTACAGTGGACTGTTTTTCCGAAATATGATTCATTGTTGGTTGGGTCCAATTTATACATGTCATAATTTTTTTTAAATGTAAGGTGTGCGGTATATTTTAGGTTGGCTCACCTGGCAACCAGGATGGTCTTGAGACAAAGAAGCTCACTTCAGATATAGAAAATATTGCCATAAAAGATGGATTGTCAAATGGCACTAATAGTAATCAGAATAGAGGTTTTCTGTGGCAAAGTGGATTGCCATTAGGTGGCACTTCTGAAAAGCAGGAAACAGTTGGTTCTCTTTCTGTCAGTGTTATTGATGCGTCATCCACAAACCGAAAATCTGAATTACCAAAACAACCATCGTCAGGAGGTGCTGGGAAGTCAGTGAAGCCTGTACCTCGTGCCAAAGTTCCTTTCGAGAAGGGGTATAGCCAAATGGATTGGCTCAAGCTTACTCGAACTCATCCTGACCTTGCAGGTACATAGTGACATGTGCTTCCGGCTGAAATTGCTTCTCATATTCCATAACTGCATTTTTCTTCCCAGCAATCATTCTTTTGATTTTCTTTTTTCTTGTCATTTGTGTTCTGGTAGCTTTCACGCATTCATAATTACTGAGTTTTTTTTCCTTCTCTGGTTGTAAGCTTTTACATCTCTTATCACGAACTCTAACTCATTTGACTTATCTTTCTTAAAGCCTTTGTATTTTTTGATAATCCTAAAGGCAATTCTCAAAAGATATAAGGAAAGTTACTTCAAACTTTTCCAAATGAAAAGGGTTGGATTGGGAGGGCCTGTATTCTAGCTTCAGGAATTTATTGAGGTTCCTAATTTGTTCTTTTTGGAAAAAAAAATTGTTTAGCAATATTTAATTGTGCTCTTAAAGCACAAAGCTGTTAATGATATCCTATTTTCAATATGAGCTTGACGAGGTGCATCTCTTGCTCAAACCTCAGAGCTACGTATTACTTTGTGTGTGGATCTATGACCTCTAACAGACCCAATTGTCCAATGTATCTTCATTTTCAGGCCGACTGAACCAATGTATTCTGGTAGTATTATTCCTGGATTATCCAGAGGGTTTCTGACTTCTGGTTGACAAAATCTTCATTGCTTGCAGCTAGAAAGTACTGGGTTTTCTTAGCGATTCTCATTTACCTAGTGTGCCTGCATTGAACTGCTTAAAGAAGCTAATGAATGTAGCTACTTCAGTGTGTATGTAACATGTATCTGAGATAGGTTATTCATCGTGAATTTATGACGCATATTATTATAAGTTCAGGAAACAACTTGTGATTTCTCATATTGTTTTAAGTGCAGTCATTGTTAGATCAACGTTAGCTTCTTGATATACGAGTTCTGTCTCAGGTTTAAAGGGACAGTCAAATAAGAGGCTGATTTCAATACATGAAGTTAAACAACACCAAAAAGGGGATTCAATGTGGACTGTTCTAAAAGGTCGTGTGTACAATTTGTCTCCTTACATGAGATTTCACCCTGGAGGTATGTACATGATCTTATTCTGTTCAAGTTAAATGTTTACTGGATTTAGTTCTGTCATTCAATGTGTATTGCTAATGCAGGCTATTACCTGCATTTTCTTCGTGACACCCAAATTTTTTAAATGTATTTATTTGTCATAGGCATGTTTTATCGGGTTACTATTGTTAGAATTCATAGTCTCAGTAATTAGTTTTGAATATTTTGGATGTTTGGGAGGAAGGAAGAGATCACAGGGAGAGTATGAAGAAGAGAATGTTGCTCTGAAAATAGAAAAATGGAGATTACTGTTCATTTCACTCCACTAGCCAATATATCGTTAGCAGAGAGAGAGAAGTGAGATGCTTCTCTAACGGATTTACATCAAAATTGAATCCTAGCCATTGCTTCTATCATCCTATGAGATGCTTACATTTGTCATTAGCTGGCACTCAAGTCTTAGGCTAGAAAGAGAGTCCACTTGGACTATGATCCAATGGCTCACATTACAAACAGAAATTAAAACGTATAAAATGAAATTAAAACAAACTTTCTGACTTTGGCTCCAAGGTTTTCAGCTCAAGGGTTACTATCACTCTTATTGAAGTTTCCTTGCTCCAGTATGCCAACTTAGCTGACAAAATAAGATAAATAGGATGGGACATTTACGAGTACGATACCAAAAATCTGGGCATTCTTTGTTGCTTCTAATGAAGACTAGCTATAAAAAGATGAGGGCTATTTGTTTAAGTTCCTTGATGGATGCATACCCTCGTTTTGAGCTCATTAATGACCTAGGAAGAGTGATAATATGGAAAGGCAAAACGGTTGAATTGATGAACAGTGTTGTTAACAAAATCATTTTCTATTGAGCATTTGCAAATGCATTACCACCAATTGATTACGTCCTTAATATTGCAATTGGTATCCATCCCCCAGAAACTTCTTGGTGACGGGGTCATTTGTTCTTACTGCTGCTAAGCATAAATATTTGACTTTGTCGAGAGTTTCTGTATGCCTTAGTTGGTAAGAACTACATGACATACTTTCCTTATTTCTAACGAAACTATTTTTTTCAGGTGTTGATATGCTAAAGAAGGCGGTAGGAAAAGACTCTACATCTTTATTCAGTATCCTTTCTAAAATTTACATGGTTATGCTGATTTCCTGAGTATGTTTGGCCTAGTTACTTCTTGCTGGACCTTTGGTTTTATTGTTTTGTTCTTCAGTCAGACCCCTCCATGAGAACAAGAGAATGGATTTGCTCACAAGCATTAATTGGCGGTGAGCAAATCTGTTCTCTGAGAACAACTGCCCATAAAACTTGCTACTACTAGTGGAAGAGTTGAATTAGGCAGATTTTTTCTTTTCTTATTCACCAAAGAAATTTTGAATACTAATATCCAAAACTCAGTTATAATTTAAGGTTGTATTTGTTTCTTGGAATCAAGGCTGGGAAATGGATTTAGTCCTCCCTAAGAATGCCTTTGTTAAGTGCAAATTACTCTGGGTTTGGCCTTTCCATGGACAACCCACAAAGTTAAGGTTTTGCATTTCTAAGGAAGTGGTGTATCTCCTAAAGCCATTCCCTGGTTTTGATTTTGAACTTGGATCCAATCCTTGGCAATCTTTGGTTTCTTATATAAGTCGTTTATGAAGTTCCCCCAACTTTGTTTAGGGTTCAATAATAAAACTTCAAAATACATTATAACCTTTGGAAATAAATGACTTATGCTAGAAACCAAGGATTACCAAGACAGAGAAAATCTAAACCCACTTGTAATTATAATGACGACCATACCATATATTTATGCTTTCAAAAACTGAAACTCTGCTAGTATCCTGATAACCTTTGGAATGTTGGATTCTGTTGGTTTCTAATCACTTCATTCCAAGGAATGAGTTTAGGATTCCTAAAATCCGATTCAGCGAAACAACACAACCAAATGGTTTTCCTAAGCCTGGCCGAACCTTAAGCGAATCTAGTGCCTACAAATCAGCAATGTGTTTTGGACCATCTTCCTTTTTACTTACTCTATTGTAAATTGCTATTTACTTTTGCAATCCTTATTATACTACTCTAGATAAATACCATGCTTGGGTGAATGCTGAATTTTACTTGAGAAGTGTCTTGTTGGTACTCTAGACGATGGCGACGGGCAACATTCCAATCATTAGAAATTTTGAGCCTGTTCATCATACAGGCAGATTGGCACAGCAATTTATTTTTCAATTCAAATTTTATCAAGCGAACATCATATTATCATACCAGAAAATAATACATTTGTACTCTAGAGCTAGACTTTCTCATTCACTGTTGTACCATGTTGTCAAATTCAGATTCTGTTGTATATTGTAATTTTCGTAACAAGATTCGTGCCTTAGGGCTCTATGGTTTGTGCTATGAAATAATCAAAATAGTAATTTATGTTGTTTAAACAAAGCTCTTGATTTTAAATGCTAAATAGCAGGTTTGGCACAGCATGTCACTGATTCAATTTTCTCCCCATAATCTAACTTAAAAAATTTCGACATGTATTTTTTATGATCACAGCGTGCTCGGCAGTTTAGCTGCTAAACTAGCAAGGGCAACCGGGTTCTTAACAAGCTGCGGAATATGATTTTTCACATCATCAAACATCCGAAAACCCTTGATATATCTCAATGCGATCAAGAGGAAGGCTTCTTATTTTAGCATAAGCTGCCAAAGAAAATGACCTGACTCATTCTTCACTTCATATATTCCTGAAGTACTTAACGTGGACAAATTTTCTTAAATTTGAAAAGTACATAGCTCTCTCTAGTCGAAAATAGGTAAAACATCTACCTTCATCAACGGTCAAATTTACAAAAAAGTAGGAATAATATCCGCCTGTAATGATATTGTAGTCTTGTGGTGATAATATAACTAAACTAGCATCTAAGCAACAGGGTAAACCCTAACTTGGTCCAGGATAGGGCCGCAAAGAGCTCCGTAGTCATCAACCCTGGTGTGGTAGAAAGAGCTGTAGAATGTAATTCTGGTCCTGGGTGAAGCTGCTTTGAACTTGAGACTAGCAGCCTTGAACCCGCCTTTTCCTTGGGAGGTGAAGGGAACTTTTAAGGTGTCCTTGCCGGCAAATGCTTCAACCATCATCGAACCGTGGCAGCCGTTCCTTGCATCGCCAACGACAAATGAGAGATTGTAGATCTTGTTGGGCACAGTTCTAAGAACCTGGGCTATGGCACTTTCTCTCCCTGCAACAAGCTCAACGGCGCCTTTTCCAAATGGGACATTGAAGTGTTGAGAGTCGATGAACTTTACAGCTTTGAGGGACTCGATGATCCAGCCGGGAAGTGGGGATGTCACATCTAGTTGTTTTGGAGGGAGGAGTACACCATGGGAAGAGTTGAATAACCTATGGGGAGCCTCCTCAAACCCAGGATTTCTGACCAAATTATCTGCAAGAAACTCAATGTTTTAATAAGCAAAACAAACCCAAAACAGGAAACAGAGTAAGCTTAAAGCACTGAGTTTGTTTCAGATCAAATTGAACGCTCAAATTCTCAACCAAGGTATATAATTCATCAGGCCTCAGAAAACGGAGAACACAGGGTATACAATTTAGCTAGCTAAATGTGTAGCTCAATTGTTCAATTGTTCTTCACCCAAAAAAGAAGAAAAAAGGTCAGAAAGGCGAACTCATTGTTTGTTCATATGGATGCATATAAAAAAAACACATCTTGGATATCACAAAGGACAGCGGTACCCAGATCTAGATAACCCAGATAACAATCAAGCAACAAACTTTTGCAAAATCAGCAGAGATCCTACAAGTTTTAGAAGAACAGCCCCAAATACAGATTGATCAAAAATTTAGAACAGAAATATATTCTTTATACAGAGAATGGCATAAGCATAGTTATAAGTTTTTTATAATTACCTCTTGTGGGTAGTGCAGGGAAGAGTTCCTTGATAGCAATTGCATCTAAGAGAGGACCACAAGCAGGGTCCTCTTGAACCCCAGGATTGTGAAAAGTCACTTTTACTACATTGGAAGTGGCTCTGAAACCCCAAGCATAAGTATCACCTCCATTGCTGCTATAGAGAGTCTGCAACGGAAGGTCCCCGGCCTGAGGAGGAACTGAGACCCTCAAAACCTCTTCTTGTGCACAAGTCCTTGATGCCCCAAATGTTAGAGCATACAGAGACCCTGGTTTCACCTTTATGGTTTGAGAGATGGAGGCCTCATTGCCAAGCCTCACAGCATGAACACCATGAGCCACAGAAAAGTACATTCCACCCGGTTGGGGCCCGCCGGAGATGTACTCCACGAAGCCATTGATTTCCCATTTGGGCAGTGCATATTTGCCTATGAGTACTGTTTTCTTGAGGCTTGTTGGTTTTGGTGGCTCTTCAAAGTTGCCATTGTTCAAGAGCCCTGAAGAAGATAAGCAGATCAAAGATATGATAACTGATAAGAAAGTGACTGACTTCGGGGTATACAACCAAAAACAAGAGGAATGTTCAACAAATCTTTGTGGGTATCTCAACATATAAAAACCCCAACGTTCGTATAGCATATCAGCTCAGAATCAGAATGTACCTTTTTTTTTCTTCTTTTACCTACATACACTACATGACTACGACCAAAGGGGAGAGAGAGAGAGAGAGAGAGAGAGAGAGAGAGAGAGAGCACAAAATTGAGCAAATATAGACTTTAAAACAAACTAGATCAGTTCATAGTTCAACAAAATGCTAAAATAGTTTAAATCAGTAAAGACAGAGCTCAGTAAACAGATCAGAACAAGATATTCACCATAACGACTCAACTGAGGAAGGTTAGATGAGAGAGAGAGAGAGAGAGAGAGAGAGAGAGCTTTACCATCCAAAGGCACATGTACAGCTGCATAAGCAGGATTAGTGAACATAAATGAGAATGCAAGCAGAAGAGAGAGCACAGCTGCCATTTTCACCCCAAAAAAGTAAAGAAAGTGGTGAGAGGTGTTGGCGAGGGAGGTAGGGAGAGCAGAGCTTGAGGGCTTACATTTATAGTGAAGAGGATAAGATGGGAAATGGGGACGAAGGAAAGTTTTGCAGAAATCACGTTAACAAGAAGCCACCTGGCAACCTGCCTCCTCCTATCAATCAAAGCTGTGAAGCATTCAAGCACCCCCTGTTGGGTTTTTGTCTGCTTCCCCTGGTTTGTGCAAACCGACTTTTTCTCCATAATTCATGCCAGTGTCATTCTTGTAATTTTACTTTCTTTTTGTTTTGGTCGAAAATTTTACTTTCAAATTTTTGGAACTCAATGACCATCATCATCCAAATTCAAAAGCAACAAGAAGGAAAATGTACAGGTTCTGTTTTGTTTATGATGAACCATGAGCCTAAAACCCCATTATGTTTTGATTAACATAAATTATAAGGTCGGATTAGTGTTGAATACAAGTAATCTTCGTAGAATAATAAGATTAGTGATATGAATTTTCTCTAGTTCAAAATTAAGTGGAATTTCATTTCCTGGGTTTGAGTTTTAAGTTTTTTCCTTTAATACAAGCAATATTGAGAAAATGAGGAAAAAATAAAGAACAAAGAAGTTTGAGTGCAAGAGTAAATACTCTAAACTACTAGATGAATTTCACAACCATATTAATAAGTTAATGCAAATTTTTATAGTATTTTCGTATTAGATTATGTGCGACTCCAATTTAATGTTCGCATCGGGCCTTTCAAAATCTCAAGAACGGTCCTGACTCTAAACTACTTAATGAATTTTGCAACCATATAACGGGTCAATCCTTTGAGTAATAATCAAATTAAGTTGGCATGTAATTATTTAACATGATTAATCAAGCAAGTCAACTCAAAGTCGTTGATTAATATCCAACATACGATCCATCTATGAACATGCATTGATTGGTGCACCTATCATTTGGGATTTTGCAAGAGCTTTGGAGGAGGGTTTTAGGGTTATGGATGTCTTTTCAAAAAGGGATTTGCTTGCTCGTGGGTTGTGACCGATTCTGCTTTTGGAAGGTCTGACGAAAATGGCTTGGCAAAGATATGTCAGATTCTGTTTCTGCAAATTAATTATTTATTTGCTTTCGTCTGCTAATTAAACTGATTTCTATTCTTTCAAAAAAAACCGTGTGGGCTCATTATCATTCGTTTATTATAATGCAGGACTTTGCTTTTTCCAGTTCACTTTTTTTTCGACCACAAATTCCATTTCCGCATAAATAATAAAAATAAGTAGCTAGAGAAAGACGACCTATTATCATTCGTCTTTAGGACCTACATCATCAAAGCCAAGGTGGAGCTAAAATTGTAAAATTGCGGGATAGAGATAAAAAAATATACGTACATCAAATATATATAAGTGTTAAAACACATATTAGAATTAAACCTTTTAAAATTAGTCATGTCTAATTATTTTTAAATAAGAAAGAGGTAAAAAAAAAGAGAAAGAGGTCAAAATAAAGGGGAAAGGGAGCAGGGCCACTCCTAGCCTATTATGGATCTATATCCTTGCCTACCTTAAAATTTTACTGACACGCGTCATATAATATTAACACGTGATTTACTAATATTATAACATGTGATTTAATAATATTGTAGCATTTTTACGATCATACTAAAAAATTTCCTTGCCTTAATGACATATCAATGTTTATGATAATGATTGTTTGTTAGGGATTGAAGGCCTATCAAATGTTTAAAAAGTACGAATGAATGACATAACTTGTATCTTCTCTATCTTTAATATTAACACCATGTATGATAATCAAATTGTTTGAAAGCTACAAACATCTGTCTTTACTATTATATAAGAGAATTATCGTTATCAAGTAAAGAGGATTATAATGTATATATTCTTAAAAACCAAAAGTATTATAGTAATTCAACCTCAATTTTAACACTCATTTTATCTCTCACGCTACTTATGTTTTCTCAATTAATTCTCTCAAATAATAATTTCCTCCTAAGCACATTTATGTGTGGAAATTGAGATTAGATTCTCTTGTGCTTTTTTAGTTGTGTGCCCTGCATAACTAAGTGAAGGCATACACACCAAGATTTTGTGCGTGGTCAAAGTTAGAAAGGGAGAGGGAGAAAAATTGACATACACGAATGTTATGGAAGCTTGAACTCATGACCACTTGAGAGCTTACCAAATGTTTAGAACAATCCAACTAACGCCCCATTAATAGATACACAACATAATTCAGTGAGGCCTTAATGTTAACGACCTCTAGTCGTTTGACTTCAATGACATTTATTGAAGCAAACAACATTTTATTTTTGAAATGATTAAATTAATTATATATATATAATAAAAATAAAAAAGGACTCAGTCACATTCAATTCTCACGTTCTTGTTGAGTGAGAGAGGTTAATTTCCTTCATGGAAGGCTCAATTGCTCTTTAACTCCAAATGTAGGTGTATGTTCTCTTCAAAAGCAATATATGCGCTTTAAACAATCAAACCTAGTCTGCTCTTGCTCCACATACATGACATGCCTTAGAACATCTCCAATTAATGTGTCAAAAATGTCACATAGACATTTAACGGCTAGAAATAACATCTTACATCACTCCAGCCGATGTGTCAAAGCTGATGTAGAATGAAAACTAGAGGTTGAGATGTTATTTTTGACATCCCAAAAGAAAGATGTCAAATGAATATTTTATTGCTTTTGGGATGTCAAAAGTAACGGCTGAACCCCGAGCCTTCATTCCACATCAGCTTTGACAATTCAGTTGGAGTGATATGAGATGTTATTTCTAGCCGTTAAATGTCTATGTGGCATTTTTGACATATCGGTTGGAGATGCTCTTATATTGGTTTTCTCCCTTTCTTAAGCTGAGTATTGCCGCTGGAAACAAAGTCAGCTATTGACCTTTGAATTTTTCAATCACATGTCGATTATTTCATAATAAAATAATGAGTTGGACTAAGCAGACTTGAGTAACAAAGACGTCCTGCTTTGATGTGTGCGTAGGTGTGCCAGTACCAAGGCCAGACATGGTCTCGAGTACAACTAGGTGAGTGGATGGTGAATGCGCTTTTTGATCTTGACTTCTCATCGAGTAGTTGTGACCGAGAGATGAACAGTCCTTAACCATAGATTCTGGGCCTTGACTACAAGGCCTTTTAGACCAGGTTGGTGGTTGAGTAGGTCATCGAGTTCGGTAGCTCGATGTTGGCACTGGGATTGGTAGCTCAATGATTCAAACAACTCGAGAAATGTGGGTATCTGGAGAAATCTGGATAGGTTGGATGGTGCTCAAGAGTTAACTTTGAAAAAAAAATCCTGTTGATATAGGAAATGAACGATCGAAGTGGGGATTGCCCACGAACTTAGAACAGTTTATGAAATTTTTCTAATGATAGTTATCCCTACTCCTAAGGAAAGCGATAAAGATAATGGAAGTACATGACTGAAAAAGATGATTTGCTCGTTGAGGCGTTTTGATTGGTTGGTGTTGGATCCCTATTTCGAAAGTTGAGCCTTCCATTTTTAGGCTTAACTTCTCCCTGGCCGAGTTAGATGTATGGCCGTGATTTTGAAAGACGCCCAATCAATGATGTGCCTTCTTTTGCACGATCTTAATTGTGATTGGTCAAGATGGGCGATGAAAAAGGTGATCCTCGGCCATATTCTGACAGCTTGGGTGGTGGAAAAGGTGATCTTCAACCATGACTAGGCGATGCCACTTAATCTCTTGGTGAGATGACATTCCTTCAGATGATTTCCCCTTCGATGAGGCCAATCGTGATTCAGTTGAACTTCACTTTTTGAATAAAGCGCCAAGTAAGCAATCTTCCAATCTCTCTGTTATTTTCTCATTAAGAAGAAATTTGTACCTCCTGATAAGCAAGCTTAGCCTTTTTATTCTCTCACTTGAGAGCCTATTTCTTTCTCAAGCCCCTTGGGTAAAAAAAAAGGGGTCTAAACAGCAGCATTATTTACGAGATACATGATTTATTTATACAAAAGATTTTCTCCAAGAAATTAGAGCATTTCCACAGCGACAGGCTGGCCTGAGCAGGACAGGGCCTAGGCCTGTGAAGCGCTTCCAGCAAGCAAATGCAACCCTGGCAATAGGTGGGGGCCACTAACCCGGGCAAGCCCAGAGGCAAATCTAGCTTGTGCTATTGCCTGAGGTTTGGTGAAGTCAGAGCTGATGCCAGGCTGGCATCAGTGCAAGATTTTGAATTGTTTTTGTACCGTTGATGTGTGATGTACACGCCCCAACGATAAAAAAATTTCTAAATCATGCATTGACGCCAGCCTGACATTAGCCATGCTTTCCCCCAATGGATAGAAGACATGTGACACTTCCTGGGGGGTTCGATCTAGTCTTTCTGCTCCAATCCAAAGGTTGCTAATTTTGTGTGTAAAAAAATACCAAAAAATTCTGATTTTTTTTCTTTCCTATAAATACCTGCCAATATTCTTCACCTTTCACACCAAATCTTTATACAAATTCTTTTCCTTCCAATATTATACTCTTATCCGAAAATCTTATCTGAAATTTGAGATATGAATTTTATAATAAATATGAACATGTGGCAACCGAAAATCTCATCCAAATTAATCGTTTAAGTATAAAAAATAAAAAAAAATTAAAGTAAATAGTAATTACCCTTTGCCATGACAATAGATGGAAATACAACTTGCCTTTTGCAATAGTATGACACTATTTATGTGAATAGTAACAACCCTCACATTTCCTTACCCTTTGTCATAACATATAGGTGAGAATGCTCTTTAATTGGTGGAAAGCGAGAAGAAGCTACAAAAGACATTGCCAACAAAAATAAGTAAACTAAACACTTAACCTTGTGCAAGCAAAAACGTTTGGTCCCTATTTATTTAAATCTTTCCAGTGCGAACGGAATAACTGAAAAAAATTGTAATGTTTTTTCTTTTATAAACCAAACAGACCCTAAATATTCTGAAACCTGCGGGGTCTACGTTATGATCCTCACAGCTTCTGACATGCTCCATTTTTATAGTAGGTTTTGATTAGAACGCCGTATCCCACGTGCATTGTCGGTGTGAAGTGAAGAGGTATGCCTCTCTCTCTCTCTCTCTCTCTCTCTCTCTCTCTCCATTGAAATACAATAATGATCAATGTTATTTTATACGGCCTTTACTTGTCCTTATGTATATTTGCCATGTTACCAATACTTATCAAAACTTGTACACAAAGAATGGGTCATTACTCATTAGGGCCCAGTTCATGTGAGTTCATGTGACCTCAGCCCATCTTGGTCAGTTGAGACCAATTTTCTAATCTTCTTTTTGGTGCAAATGAAGGTTCATATATCTCATGCCTACATGTGGCTCCGACCCTCATTATTCACAATAAATGTTGCACCCCGCATGATTCTGTAAGCAATCTCGAGTGCTAGAGTGAGCTCGATCGTCTATGCAATAAGTTGGTGATTAGGATTTAGAGTTTAGGGTTTAAGGAAGGCTCCATCAGTGGTATTAGAGGGTCTTAGTGCACAACTATTTTGGGTAACAAAGAAAAGTATTATAATCGGCTACATCATCGAGTACAAAAAAGTAAAATCTGAATAAGTGCAATCATTTGTAAATCACATGGATAGAATAAATTCAAATGTTTTTTGGGTTGGGTTAGTAAGTGGGCCAAAAGATTTCTCCAATTATGGAAAAGAAAAAGAAAAAGGCATTGTTGACCCTAATTGGGGTCATGAATGTGAAAAAAGGACATGCCTTATCTGGCCTAAATCTTTTGGGCGACTGACCAATTTCTTGGGCCACAGCCACATGCTTGACCAAATGGAGTTCTACTAATTCTTTTTCTTTCTAAAAAGCTTGAGAAATAAAAAAAAATAAAAAAAATCAAATGAATCCTTTGTATGATGGGTCGTTATCATTGGAAACATGGCTAAGGCCCATTTTGGTTAGCATGACAGGTTCCTTGAAAATGCAATTCCCATGTCGATTCTTGGAGAATGATGAGATTAAAAGATCTTCATTGCAATGTTTGAAAATGGCAATAAGAAATATTTGTTTGTTGTAAAAGTGTGGATGTTGTGCAGTGGGATTTAGGGGAAGACTTTGGTCACGTAACAAAATATTTGACAGATATTGATAAAGTGACAAATTAAAATAAAAAAATGAAGTACGTATGACAAATTGTCCAATTTTTTTAAAATTGAATAATAAATATACACATTCTAAGGATATGTTTGGTTCGCATATGAAAACATAACATTAAAATATAAAATTAACTAAGTACACTTTATTTAACAACCAAAAATAGTGCTAAAATACTCTATCCCACAACACCAAATCCATTCAAGAGATGATGAGTTTGATTTCGTCAAACATGCTAAAAATATAATAAATGATATGTTTTTTTTGGGTCAAATGAATGAACATGTTATTACCATAGAGAGTTACATAAAAACCCAATACAAAAGTTAGAAAATTAAAAACAAGGGCTCAACAAAATAAAAGCTCAATCCAAAACACAAATAATTTAGGCCCTAAAGAAAAAAAGAACTCCCAAGACACAAAAACCCTTGAAGCAAACCCTAGCAACGACAAGCGGCCGTAGTGAGAAGAAGAAGAAGAAGGTTTAGGGGAACCAACAAAGGGAACCCGTAGTCTACAGCAGAGCCATACAAAAAGCTTTGAGCTACTTGATCCTGGAGGGAAACTAATTGTGCTTCTAAGTTGACCACCTGCAATTCAAAGCAAAAGCATATATGTTCAATTTGAACACCTAATTATATACAATATGAATATAAATCGATATTAACCTGTTGTTGGAGAACAAAAATTTGCGAAACGCATCCATATATTGGATCTTCAAGCTTGGCTTGAGCTTCATAAATCCTAAAGCGAAAACAGAGAAGGAGAAATTACGGGTGACAGTTGTTTCCTCACCCGTAAATCCCAAAGCGGAAATTACGAGAAAAGAGAAGCGGAAATTACGGAGTGGAAGTGGGTTTGTGAGACATGTCGATAGCTCCAAGATAATGATGGAGACATATAGCTCGAGGTAGAAAGCCTGAAATTACGGGTGTGGAGCTCGAGGAAACGCGGGAAAAATCAGAAACAGGTGTCATAATGGACGAAAAAAAAAAGGAAAAAAGGGGAGAAAAATATCACAAAAAAAAAAAAAAAAAAAAAAACTAAAAACCTAGCCGCCAATTTTCTTCCTTCCTATTTCTCTATATCTAAACCTATCTCCTCCAACTCATAAATAAAATGGCGTCTTCCTTCCCATTTTCTCTTGATCTAAACCTAGCTCCGTCAACTCAGACATGGGGACAAGGGGCTGCACCAGTGTGGATGCCCTACTTTGCTTCCTTATGAGGTCCAATTACAATAAACAACTCATTACTCCTTAACAACGATGTTGCCATTGAATTTGCGACGAGTTTGGTAAGTCCCAGGGATGTGCGCATGCTAGGAACAAGGGATGATAACCGAGTGGTCAGTGAAGTCGTGGCATTGAGCGTGCAAAGTGTGATTAGTCGCAAGTGTAGGTCATCGCCTCATTATGAAATCCTATGAGGTGCAAGTGCTAAGAGCTCAGTTGGTGGCATAACGGAATTTGGTTGAAGAAAGGCAGAGTGTTATAAGGAGATTGAAAAGGGAAAGTGCAAAGATGTTGGAGAAGATGCGACATCAGCTTGAAATATTATAAGAAAAGAATAAAAGCTACCAAATATGTTAGATTTTTACTCTAAAGACATGCAAGAGTGGCTAGAGACTGTGGATAACCCAGGGAAGCGCAAAAGAGATCACGAGATGAGTTTTGTGAAAGGGTAGAGGGTGATCTTTGGACGCTCAAGTGATGAGCCCCAAGAAGAGGTGTGTGAAAACCCAACAGAGGAGGTCCATAGGGCCAAACTATAGTCTCATGTTGTGGAAACATGAAGCGTGTCATGTTGATGTTGTTCTTGTTTTTATATGTTTTTTTTTCCTTTTTTTTTATTTAAATTTTCAGTGATGCGGTACCTTTTTTTTTGTTTTTTTTTGTTTTTTTAGAAAAGAAATAATTTTTTAAGTAATCAACGGTCATTGAAGTTTATGGTTCTTTTTATTAAACAGGTTATTAACCAGGTAATCTGTTTAAGAAGACCCGAACCGGAAACAATACATTTATTAAATGAGTCGGGTTCAGGTTGAGCATTCTTGACACGTTTATTATCTTGACACGACACGACCCATTGCCCGCCCTACCTGTAGAGTGTAGATTAGGGAAACATGCCACCAACATGAATCATGCTTAAGCAATCCATGTCAAAATCGACCATTAAACTACAGTGCCCACACCTCCATATCAAGATCTCAAATATGAGGAGGGGTTGTAGGGGAGAAACAACAACACCAAACTAGTAGACAACCAAGAAAATTTTAGGGAAAGATGAAGATTTTAGGATTTGAGCTTTGGTGGGGAGGGGAGAGAAATGGACTGATTGGGGTGAGTGTATGAGAGGAAAAAAGGGTGAGAAAGGTGTAATGGCTGAAGAGTAGTGGTGGAGGAGATCTGGGTTTACATATGGAAAATCAAGAGAGGAAGGGCAAACCAAAACAAACAAAAAAAGAAAGAAAGGAAGGCCACACCAGAGGTGGCAGAGGTGCCAGCCCGAAGGGCGGTGGCACAGTTACCAGCTACTTAGAAAAGGGCGGTGGGGAAAGTGAGAAGTTCTAGAGAGAAGAGGGAGCCTCTCTCTCTCTCTCTCTCTCTCTCTCTCTCTCTCTCTCTCTCTCTCTCTCTCTCTCTCTCCTCTCTCTCTCTCCTCTCTCTCTCCTCTCTCTCTCTCTCTCTCTCTCTCTCTCAGGTTGGGTTTTAATGAATGATAGGGTTAGCCCCATATATTATAACTAATATGAACTCTAATCATAACGAAATTTGAACAAAAATGCTATTTAGAATATAAAATTTTCTTATCCATAAACAACTGTACATAGAATGGAAATTGCACATAAGTTTAAAAAAAGTAAAATTATACAGACACAGAAACTGCAATGCAAAGTCTAGACAAAATGCACCTATTAATAAGCGAGAAACTAAAAGGTGCAATTATGCTAGATTCTACAGTGCAGTGCAATTTATGTTTCTATAGAATTGGTTTTTCTAGAAACTACACAACTATTTTCATTTTATGTACACTTGTTTAGTGATAATTTGGATTTTAGTATGAATGTGTGAATTATTTGGAACTTATACAATTCTATCAACAATTGATGTCTTTTGATTGTTTTTGTACTTTCATCATATGGTTTTGCATTTTTATTACTTACTTATTAATATGTTTATTTTTTCCCATATGCTGCAGTGTAATTTCTGGTTCTATTGAATTAGTTTTTGTTTATACCATTGATATCTACATTGTTTTGTTATAGAGTAGTAGTTTATTGCAATTATTTCTTTTCTGTTGTAGTTTCTATTTTTGTTTGTAATTTTTGCTTACATCGTTGATATTTACATTTTTTTTATAGAGCAGTTTTTTATTGCAGTTTTTGTTTTATTTTTATTTTTACACTATTGATATCTACATTTCTTATTATATAAACCTAAAAAAATTATCAATATAATATATATAAGCATTTAAACCTTATAAATTTTTATAACTTTAAATTGATCTATTTATGTATAACTCTATAGCATGAGGGATTTGGTACAAATGTCGCACGAATAGGTGTTGAAATAATTTGTTATTTATTTTTTAAATCATTGATTGTTTATATAAATATTGTGTAATTTAATAAATATCACAAAAACAGGTTTGGTGTAGTGGTTTGTGAATGGTGCTTCCTCCTTTTTGAGGGTCAAGGTTTGAGTCCCTTCAACCATACAAAATCTTCTCTGTCTTTTAGGGTGAATAAAGGGCAACGGAGTTGGTCGGCTAGCCAGTGATGGGCGGCGTCTTGAAATAGAAGAAGCGACATTGTGTGTAATTTTGATATTTTTTAATGACATTATTGTAAAATTAGGTATTACTTTTTGGTCTTTGGCCTTATGCTAATTAGGCGAAATTGTATTCCTATCTTCTATATTAGTATAGTGCTTTAAAATGAAAGCTCCCTTATGAGTAATACTATATCTATTTTTTAAATACATAATATCATAATTAACGTATTTACCTATTATCTCATATTGATAAATTTTTAATACACAATATTATCTAATTAACGTATTTGCCTATGATCTATTATTGATAATTATTTACCTTAGTTCCGTATTTAGAATAACAAATTCTTATTAAGTAATGGGGTTTACATGATATCATCTATTTAACATATTTACCTATTATCTGTTATTAATATTAGAAGAAGGACTTCTAATATTTTTCACAAGCATTATAATTAAACAATATTCCTTTCCGAATCATTCATCCTTAAACACACATGGACATCATATTTCTTTTGCAGAATAAACATGGATACAGTGGTTTTTTTTAATTTTTTAATTATCAAACTCTGCTGTATTTGTATTGCATTAAAAGTTGTTCTTGAAAATATATGGTTATTTGTTTTGCATTAAAAGCTGCCCTTGAAATATTGTTTAATTGAAATGGCAATAATTTTATTTTGCAAGGGGCTTATAGTTCTAGTGGTTAAAGGGCATTAATTATATCTCTCAAGAAAACATTAGAAAATAAAAAATACCGAAGAAGCAAAAATACATTTTGAAGTTCAACGTTATTTTGGATCCATATTCTGTAATATGCTTGGTGATTGAAGTTATAGGTACTAGATGAAAAATAGAAGAAAAGCAAAACGAAAACATGATTGGAATTTGGAACCCACTACATGCATGTCCCAAGACAAAGCAAGGAAGGGGCAACAATAATATAATTGACATGAAGCTAAGCACGCGACAACTTTTTGAAGGGAAGATAAATTTTATTAATAACCCAAGAACATTATGTTAACTTGCCTCATTAAAACCTTCAGAGGTAAATTATACGGAAAAACTCCGAGAGAGGAAAGAGTACCACACATACAACAAAATAAAATAAAAAAAGTCCAGACAAAAACAGAAACACGTCATGCAATGGGTAAGAGAAATGGAGCACCAAAACGAAAAAATCACAAGAAAAAACGCGCAACTTTAAATACCAGTTTGTTATATAAAGTCTTCATAGAAGTGCTTCTTGAAAGCATCCACATGGACCACTTGTAGAGACAAAGCCACAAACACAGAACCATCTCCATTAGCGCTTGGAAGGATCACAAAATCCCCATCAAAATCATGCGTTCCTGGACCCATATAAATTTCCTTTCCCCATCCAAAGTCAAGGCCCCAAAAAGGCACTGTCAACCAGCTCACAACCCCAACGTTAGGGTTTCCATGAAAAGAACCTTGGTCACTCTCTATAGCACGATGAAGGTCTTGAAACTGAGTCAAGTCCGGTTGGTTCTTCAACTTCTCAAGGGCTGACAACACATAATCATTTGTCACCTTTTCGATCGCCTCCCTTATTCTACTCGATGCGTATCCTAATGGCTTCGACAACAAGTCACCCGAAAGACTTGTGGCATTCACATAAAATGTTGCATTGCCAAAGTAGCCTTGAGGCAACGGAGGTTTTATTCGACTACGAAAGTCCATCCAAACCGCCAATTGCATCGCCTGTTCATCTCTAAGGTTTCTTGACTTGGAAGCACATCTCCATATGTGTCCAGCCACAGTCTCATATCGCGTGTAAGGGCGCTTAGTGTCAGAGTTGTTGAAATTGGTACCTTCATTTGCCATCTGCTTAAGTCTCTCAACTTGGTCTCTGGTAAGCCTCAACATGGTGTTAGTGTTTTTCTTGTTTTTCACCTCGATATCATTTGATTGCCCGAGTAAAATTGGTGGTTGGTTCAACTCTGTATGCTCAAACACAAGAGATTGAGCCGGAGGGTGTCGAGCTTGAAAGGCATTACGATCGTGAAATGGCATTACGGCAATTGGCTGACCCCTCGCAACCCTAGCCCACTCCAAATAGAAACGTGAAGCACTATGGCCATCAACAACTGCATGTGATATTTTGAAGCTGAGACAAACACCACCACATTTGAACCTTGTCAATTGGACAAGCAATATAGGAAGTTCATGAATTGGGAGGTTGTAGTCTACAGCGGGGAAGAGAGAGTGATATACTGGAGAAGGATACAAATCATCAAAGTCATCGAGTTTTGAATCAGACTCGGCTTCAATGAACTGAACCCCCATGCCATTACAGTCGAGCTCAAGACGGCGTCCCTCGATCCAACGCAGACGACCTGCCAGTGGATAGAATGGCACCAAAGTGCGGCGCAGTGAGTCTTTGAGGATATTGGCAATGGTCTCAGGCTGCGTGACCCAGTTTTGGTCTGGTCTGTAGAAGTAGATAGTTGAAATGTGTGTTATGCTGCCAACTTGATCAAATTCTGACAGAGTTAGGCAACCTTGCCATGTTTCTTCAGCAGGCTTCAGTAGACTAGAATCTTTGAACTTCACCACCATTATATATATATGTTGTATGTTCTTCTCTGATCAAATAACCTTCTGTTAGATCAGGTAATTTCCCCAAACAATAGGGTTACAATATATTCCCATTGGTTAATATATATTCATAGTTAAGTAACAATATTATTACATAATTAGTAATAATGTACCTATTGCACTTGAGTTTACAGAAAATTAGATGCACATATATCCAGCGTTTTGGACCAAAAATCAACAATAATTAGATTGCTATTCTCGTGTACGTACCTGTAAGGAATATGAAGAGCACAATAGGTAAGATCAAGTCCACGTCTAGGAACTCGAAATTATGGTCGATATGTTCCTTTGATCAAGAACAGTAGATTGAGTTGTGGAGTCACTATTAAGCAAACAACTCAAATCTTCCCTTTGGATTGAGAAATAGCACAATATGAAGAACACTGAATACTAAAATATACGCATAAACACTCACACAAGAAAACAACAACACTCGGAGTGTTTACTGTGTCATTCATCCTTCCTATCTAACTATTTATCATGAATAAGAAAACGTTGGGGATTTTTTTTTCCATTAGAGTGTCGTAATTAATTAAGAAATACTAAACGCGATCTTGGTTTTAATGGAAAATCCCCTCGAGAATTCTGTCGTATTTGAACTTTTAGCTATTAAAGATTGATTTTTTACCATTTAAAAACATTGGTTCATGCCGCCCCCAGATCCAAAAAAGAAACGTTTGTACTCTAACCTTTTATCTTAAAATTTCCTTATTATTTAAGAGACCTGTAACTCACGCCCTCCACTCGAAGTCCTAGTTGGATTTCTTCTTCTCCCATTACCCTTCTTCTATAAAATTAAAAAAAAATAAATAAAAAAAAAATTCCTTATTAATTTTTCTCTTTAAAAAAAATGGATAGTTTTGATTGCAATCTTTCGCAAAAAAGAAGAAGCAAGAAGATTTTGAGAGAGTAGCCATCTTCATGAAATCCCTATATCAGAGTGTTTATTGTGTGATTCTTCCTTCCTATCTAAGTATTTATCAAGAATGAGAAAATGTTGGGGATTCTTTTCCATGAAGAGAGTGTCGTAATTACTTAAGAAATTTTAAATGCAATTCTGGTTATAATGGAAAATCCCTAACTCTAGAATTGTGTCGTATTTGAAAATTTATACCATTTAAATATTATAGATTGATTTGTTACCATGTAAACCGCTGGTTCATTCCCCCTCTTCCCACATCCAAAAAGAAATGCTCGTCCTATGACCTTTTATCTTAAAATTTCCTTAGTTAATTTTATCCTAAATAGGGTTGTTCATTCCCTAAATAGGTATCCTTTTATCCTAAATAGGGTTGTTCATTCCCCCTCTTCCCACATTCAAAAATACCTCTAGTACACCCTATGTAACAACCCGAACCTTAAATAATCTTTAATTATTAATTTATTCAGATAAAAGACGAAAATACCCCGTGAATAATTTATTAGGTTTAAAGTTGACTGTTTGACCAGAAAGGAATTTGGGAATTTGGATTATACCGTTGTGCATAGCACGTCGAAACGAGTCCGTAGACACGTAGTGCCCATTTGGTATTGCTTATTTGGGATGATAAGTGATTTTTTAAAAATTTTGGGAAGCCCAGCCCCGTTTGGTAAACTATGAGAAAATCAATTATTATTAAAAATTGTTGTGAGAGAAAGCTATAAGGGAAAACATCTAATGAGGTGCTTTTATTTTCTGATTATGCAGGAATCAGTTTCGAAGAGGCGTTGAGTTTAATGATTATGCGGCAATCATTTTATGATTATGCGAGAATTAGTACCAACAACACTTTTAACAAAAAGTTTACCAAATGCCAAACTGCTTTCTCTAACAACTGATTTTTCACACAGCAAATCTGACAGTAATTATTTTCACAGCACAACAATGCCAAATTGGCCCGTAGTGGGCTCAAATCCGAGTTGTATCGAGGAAGATACAATCAAAATACGTAGAGGGGTAAAATCGTAATTTGGAATAAGTCAGATTTTTATCCCCTCTCTCTCTTTCTCTCCTGTCATGCTGAAACCCCCCATTCGAAAATTTTGCACAGCCGCCACCCCCCCTTTTTAAGGCCACAACCACCACCAGTCACGACCGGCCACAAAACCAGCACCCATCGGACCGGCCTAACCCCATTGTCTCACCCCAGCCTACTCCCGCCGCCTGCCGCCTTCTCAGCCGTCGGAAAATTGTGAAACCCGATCGGTTTTTATTCAAAATTTCAACGGCCTCATTCTCTCTCCTCCGGCCACCAAACCAGACATGTGAGGTATGATTTTTCACCTATTTTTCATGCTCTAGCTGATGGTTGGGTAGGAATTGATCGATTTCTAGCGTAGGTAACTTGATTTGTAACCCAAAGTTTGCCGGATTTCGGGTTGAAATTCCGGCCACTTCCGGCTATTTTTCGGGGTAGGCCCAAGAATAAAAGTGGCTCCAATCAATATTATGAACCTATGGTAGGAAATTTGGCCCTCAATTTTGAGGTTTTTCCGGCAACCGCTATCGCTTGGGATACCCATGCGCTGCCTGCATGTGTGGCGGCGCGTGGGTATTGTAGTAGAGGGGCATTGTGTCCAAATGTGATCCCCTAGTTGTCATGAGCGCGTAGATGTGCTCATATTTCAATTTGGATATCGTTTGAGTCTCGAACGGATTTCGCCTATTGTGCAATTTCCTGGTTTGATATGTTCAGACCGTTGGATCGAACCCAAATTCATGTATGTTGTACATTGTATTTCTAGGACAGTGTTGGATCGTGAATTAGAGTCCCGGATACTCCGAAATTGTGAACCCTAAGGCAAGATAAATTGTAATCGTCCGATCGTGCGATCATGATCAATCCAATTGCCCGATTCAGACCAAATTTTCAGGGTAGGTTTAGAAGAGTATGTTGAACCTTTAGGGACTCCCGGATTTGTGATCGGATGTCGTGGGCCCCGCGGGCCCTGTTGACCAAGTTTAGGCAGTTTGACCCATTGGTTGACCGTGAGTCTTCCGAGGTAGTTATATCCTTTGAGAAGTGTTAGAACAACCATGTAAATGAGTCCTGACCGAAAATGAGTTATCTAGGTCATGTTACGGATTGAGTATAGCTAGTTATTTATAGATTGCTAAATTGTGCATAATTTAATTATGTGTTATTTGAAGGTGTTCGATGGAATCTAAAGGGGTAGTGAATATTTATTTATTCTTTTATTAACTTATTTATTTAGTTATTTATTTGCTATTAAGATTATTATTACAGTATTGGAATGGGATGCTAATCGGAGTTCAAAGTGGTTAATAAACTAATTAAATATTTAAGTGCATGTCCATATTTAATACAAATACCCAGTAGCTGAAAATGATGAATCACGGCCCTTGGTTTTTATCAGAATGTGGCATATATATTTTAAGTATAGTTGAGCTTTGCCATCAAATATTCAATATCAAAATCAAATATACTTAAAATGCTTTGCCATCATGCAAAAATCTGTTTAGATGCAATGTTTTGAATATCTTTTTCTAAAACATGTTTTGCAGATTTACAATCAACTCGTATTAAAAACTTTTGATTAAGCAAATCATCTTGAAATTTACTAATACATAATACAATAACTAATATTTCTTTTTAATAGTACTATAATTATATTGTGACTGGGTCCAAGTACCGGAATGAAAGCGAACAATCTGTTCTGGAGAATTTGGACAGGCTCTTTGTTTGAGGATACCACCATAACCTATGTCAGAGGCATCAGTTTCAACTATCTTAAAGGAATCAACTGAAGGGATACCAAGACATTGAAGTGTCTTGACATGGGCTTTGATTTGTTTGACGACTTCAGTATGGATGGTTGACCATGGGGGAGGATTACTCTGCAATCTATCAAACAAGGGCTTACATTGCTTTCTCAGATTTTTGTAAAAATCAGAAACATAATTTAGAGATCCTAGGAACCTCTGGAGTTGACTTTTATCAAGAATTTGATCAGGAAATTTGTCAGCAAACTGAATGACTCGATCAATTGGGGAGATTTGTGACTGGCAGATATTGAAACCAAGAAATCTGATATTGGTTTGGAATAACTTGATTTTCTTGGCAGAAACAACTAGACCATTCTGTTTGACAATTTGAAGGAATTTATGCAAATGTTTCCAATGCTGTTCTATTGACTCAGAAAAGATGAGAACATCATCAATATAGACAATTGAGAAATGACTGTAAGGATTAAAAATTTCATTCATAATATTTTGGAATTCGCTAGGGGAATTTTTTAGACCAAATGGCATTACATTCCATTCATAATGACCAAAAGGGGTGACAAATGCAGTCTTATATATATCTGACTCGTCTATTTGGATTTGCCAGAAACCACTCTTCATATCAAATTTGGAATAAACAACTGCTTTTTCTAATCTATTAATCAGGTCTCTTTTATTAGGTATGGGGTACCTAATCCATTCTAAGACTGAATTAAGTGGCTTGTAATTGATAACTAATCTTGGGACTCCTCTTTCTAGCTCAACATTTTTCTGGACATAAAAAGCAGGACATGACCAAGGAGACTTACTTTTGCGAATTATTTTCTTCTGAAGCAACTCATGAATTTCTTTTTTACAAAACTCCATTATTTCTTGACTCATCTGGATTGGCATGGCTTTAGTAGGAATGTTTTTCTCATTAAAGGTTTTGATATAAGGAAGACAAACAACATGTTGTTTTCTATACCAAAAAACATTAGGCAACTCAGAGCAAATCTCATTTTTTAACTTATTTTCAAACTGTTGAATTTGCAACTGTAAAGATTTACCATTAAGCTGTTGTTCAACTCTTTTGAATTTAATCTCTTATTTAAGAAAATTCAACTGGTTATTTTTCCGAATAATTTGTACTGATTTGGACACTGACTGTTTTTGCAAGGCTTTCAGATTATGCAACTCTGGTTTAGACAGAAACTCAAATTTAACCTTTTCACCTAAATAGGTAGAAATGACGCCATCATAGTCTACCTAGAAGGGATACAATAGGGCAATAAAAGGTAATCCTAAAATGACTTAGTCAGTGATATTCTTGACTAAGACAAATGAGGTTTTGAAGCAAATTTTATTTTGGCAGACATGGGCCTTTGGCAATTCAAAATTTAACTGGAGTGATTTTCCTGAAGCAGTGCTTAAGGATTCTCTAGACTTCTGGTAAAACTTAGTAGGGATTAGACCTTCCTGAATACAGTTAAGATCAGCTCCTAAGTCAAATAGGGCAATTGTGGTGAATTCAAAGTTTTGGACAAATATTGTCACTTTCGAGTACCATTTTCTAAAGCTGACTTGTTTGATTAAATTTACAACTTGTTGGCTATCAGAAGGTTCATCATCAGAGTTGTTTGGACTTTCTGACTGGCTTTTGGACTCAGAAGACTCTTTTTCCATAAGACGGACTAAATCTTGTTTGATTGTATAATTTTCACTTTGTAATTTATGACTTACCTGTTTTAGTTCAACTATCTCTTTTTTAACCATTTTTACTTCTAATTGAAGGTCTTGTAAGGTAATTTCTTTCTTTTTAGCAAATTTTTCTAAAGTGGTATTTAAACTAATCGGCTGGGGAATAGAATTACTTGGGCTGTCTTGGCTAATGACTTTTCTTAATTTCTTTAAATATTCTGAGTTTAATTCAGGATTCTCAACTTTGCTTATTAAGTCTATTAATAATTCTTCTTGTTCTTCTTGTTTAGTAAGAACAGAAATGGATTTTAATCTATTACAACATTTATCTTTGCAACCTATTTGGATATTAGGTGAGCTTGACTGTGAATCTGAAGACTGATCAGATTCAAACTCAGAGCTGGCCACTATGGTTTCATCATTGCTTGTTTCAGAGTCTCGGAACTCCAAAACCTTTATCAACTTTTCTTTTTCTTCATCTGCAATTTTCAATTGTTTAATAGTATCCTTTACTTTGCATTCAAAGGCATAATGACCAAACTTTTGACATTTAAAACATTTGACTTTAGTTTTATAATTATTTCTTTTGGAATGATTATTCTTTTGGCCTTTTGGGGCTTTCGACCAATTTTTCTTGGGGGGAAATTTCCTTTTCTTATAGAACTCATGATTATCATCATTATGTCGGGAAAATTGTTTCCTACGGAAATAATGACGATGGTTTCGAATGTGACTAGGCTTATTTTTCCTGGAAGGAGGGATGCTGGTAAGACCATACTGTTCACAGAAATTTCCCAATTCATATTTGGCTGATTTCCTATCGGACTGTATTTGTCTACCAATTTAAAAATGAATACACATTTTCATACCAACTTGGTTGATTGTACTTATGATATTTCCATATGTTAAACTATCCCAATCTATATGGCCTTGTTCATTACTCAGAGTTATGCGTATCTTATGGGCAAACAAATTTGGAAGACCATTAACAAATTTTTCTTTCCAGAAAGGTTGGTTACTATCATCCCTGAGCATGATTCTAGAGATGAAGACATCTTTGTACCATCTGAAATCAGACAACTTAGGACATTTAAGGTTACTTAGCTGGTCATGTATCCTAGCAGTGGTATTACTAGGGGTTCCAATGAAATGCTCAATTATTGTGTAAAACAAAGTGTTGACTCCATCTTCTATACCTTGACCTATTTGTTCGTCAAATATAGGGATACCATCTTCATTAAGTTTTACAGCATGAATGATCAGATTTTTAGACTCAGGGGTCAAGTGTTTGTCCCACCAATACCTGAGAGTACCGGTAAACCCAGTAACTAACAGGGGTACAATTTCAGATTGTCTGAAATTGTGATTGATGATGTAACTGTTGGCAACCACGGACATATGTTGTAGCTTATTAAAGATTTCTTGCTCAGATAGACCATCAATATTCCATTCGTACAATTTATCAGAAGAAACCGAAAACTGGGTTTGGAAGTTTCTTTCCTCAAATTGGATATCTGGAGGTGTTGGTCTAGGGTACCAATTTTTGGTCAAGCTAGTGGGGCTTATGTGTCTATCTAATCTTTTGATTTTGGGTTCAACTTGGACTTCTAGATTTTTGAAAGCGTTTTCTATTTTTGAAATATTACTAGTTTCAGACTCTGTTGTCTCAGGTTCAGACTCAGAGGAGTTTATGATTGCAAAAGAATCTAGTGTTTTAAGACCAGATTTTTCAGCCTTACTTGGGGTCAACTGTTCTAACATCTCTTCAATTTTCTTCATTGTAGGTTTAATCTTAAGTGTGGGGCTTGACTTAAGATCCTGGAACTGAACTATTGGTTTTTCAATTTTTGGTTTAAACTTAATTTCTGGGGAACTTATCTTGTCAATTTTAGTTTCAATTGTATCCAGTTGTTTCCCTATGACAATTAAACTCTGATTGGTATAATTATTCTGCTCAATTAGTCTTCTATTATCATCATTGTTTTCAAAGGCTTTGAAAGGGCTAGCAGGCATAGGTGTATTCTTATGATTGATGATTATGGTATCAACTGGGGGATGACTAGCTTCAACCACTGGCCTGTCTACCATTTTCCATTTTTCTTTAGTTAAAGTTTTTAACTCATTAGACATGTAGCGGCTTTCAATAAAATCAAGGTAGAAAATTTCAACTTTGGCTGACCGCATATAATCTTTCCATTCATTAAAGATTTTTTGGCGGCTTTCACTATCAGGGTAGGCTTGGTGATAACTATTTCTCCTATGCTGATTTTCTGGGGTCTTGTTGATATATTTATATATATATATATATATATATACACACACACACATATATACATATATTTATATATGAGCCTTACGTGAGTTTCGATGCAAGGATAAGAGTATCTTCGAAGCTTGTTGGTTTTAATTTGTTTTATTTTATTTTTATTTTGTTTTATTTTACTTTTTATCTTTATCTTTTTATTATTACAATATATATACAATTTAAGCCAATAACATATAAATATATATAAATTGAATTATGAACTAGAGGAAATTCAAGGAATGACCTACATATATTCTGAGTATCAACTGTTCCGAGGATAGGAAAAGTTGAAAAGAATGTACGTCAGAGCTTATGAAAAATGGTTTTGCTATTACATTGAAAGAACTACGTGTAGCTTGATATCTTATTAAGGGTACGTAGGCGACCCAGAGTTACTAGATGCAGCCGCGAGATTTAATGATGGAAAAGCTATTCAGTTGAATTATTTGAAATCCGTTATCTTACTGATAGATTCATATTTTGCATATATAATCTATCTCTATTTGCATTGTTTTCGTGTGAAATTGATTAGTTTAATGTGTTTGGTGAAGATTTTGTAGGAAATCATACTTAGCAAGGCTTTGGAGCAAAAACTATAATTTTGGAAGCTTAAGGGATCGAAATAGGTGGAGTTATCAACTTCACAAAATATCAATAACTCACTCTGTCATTTCATCAAACACCTAAAGTGCATTTGTGCAAGTGTCAATTTATACCCACAACTGGTCCCAGAAAGATAGAGTTAGAGAAGTTTACCATCAATTGTGAAGCTGAAATCGTTTACAGCTATTAACATTGGAGAAGACCCATGTGTATTTAATTGGTGGAGCTAAAGAAGGTGTGTTGGGCGGATACTTGAGCAAGACTTTCCGTTGCCATCCCAATTGATTAAAGCCACGCATAATATCCAAGACCCTGTTGTGCATATGAAAGACTAGATGGAAGTCACAATAGATAATGGCATTTTTTGTTGGCTGATGCTTGAGGGCGTGATTTCCAAGGCCTTGCTGGGTATGTGAGTTTGCTGATAGTGCGGAATTGGTGAATTGGATTCATCTTTGCAGTTGGTTGGTTGCTTCACGTTTTGAATAAGCCGACATCATCCTTTGCCTAATTGGAGAAAGTGTGTATTGGCTGACCCAAATAACCTAAGCCTATTTTCCTATTTTTCTCTAAAAGCCCAATATGAGACTTCCTTCTTTGACTTGGAGACTTTATTTCCAAGTACAGCCGCATATTTTGGGATTGGGTTTTCTTCTATTTTCCTATTTTGTCTCTACTACTCAAATCTTTCCTAAATAAATATTATTTTCCTTATTTTTGGGGGAGTCCCTTGGCCTATAAATACAAAGTTTTAACCTAATAGCGAGATCATCTTCTCTACCATATTTTTCCATCAACTTTCATACAACCAGAGAAATATAAGAGAGTCAAGAGACAAGAATTTGCTGCCTCACTATTTGAGGAGCTTTCGAAGGTGTTCCTGTAGAGATTCTGAAGATCAAGTCCATCGGCCAAATTGGTTTTATGACAATAATTCTCTTGTTTATATTTTCTTCTGTCATGAACTAAATTCCCTTGCTAGGGCTAAGATGTGGCCTAACCATGAATACGTAATTTTTATAGTTATATTAATTTCTTATTATTATCCCATGTTGAATATTTGTTACTGTTCTTAATGATTTAAATATCTAGTTAATATTTAATTGATGATCCAAGCAGAGACCGAGAGGAGAAGTTTGGGGTTTGCTTCTTGTAACAAATACCACGACTTGAATGAGTGCCCAAGAGGGACTAACATGACTCATGTAGTTTTCTTGCAAGTTCTCATAGAACTTAATGGGTTCTTGGTTTTCTAAATCCGTTGCTTGAGAGAGAATAAGTTGTTAATTGAGAATACTTTCGGGTCAATAGTTTGACTTTTGACTTTGACTTTGACTTTGACCAAGCCACAAAATCATTTATTCTCTGTTAAATTCTTGATTCATACCTTTTCAATGTGCAATCTTATAGGTCTTAATTAGCGAGGTTGTAGGTAAGAATGATTTCTTCTAAATCGAATGTGAATTGTAGAGGGTTTGCTTTTAAATTGTTAGCTGAATCACAAATGAACAATACTTGTTTACATCTATGGCCTAGAAATAAACTATGAAAGGGGAGCAGCTGTAGATTTCAATGGAACGGCCTTTAATTATTACTGATTTCCTATCTACATTGCATACTATTGTTATTCCTTAAAATAATACTATAGATGATAATAAAAAATTCTAAAATGAAAACAATTTTATTGATAATGAGCTATTGGACTTCATAATGTCTTATGATAATTTGGTACTTGAGAAAAAAGAATTTGATAATTTGGTACTCTCTGCTATAAAAAATAAAATAAAAACAATAAATAAAACCTTAGTACTCTTAAAGTGTTTTTATTTTATTTTATTATAATTTAGCAGCCAAACGCTCAACAAAATATAAAAAGCACTTCTATAAAGTATAAAAGCAGTTTTATTTTTTACAGTCAAACAATAAACTGCTTCTCTGTAAAAGCACTACTAACACAAACGCTGTTAGTATAAGCACTACTGGCATAAATGCTTTTATAACAAGAACTACCAAATGAGCCCTTATTTAATTATATGATATCTTCATAGAAGTGCTTCTTGAAAACATCTATATGAGCCACTTGTAGAGACAAGGCAACAACCACAGAACCATCTCCATCGGCACCTGGAAGGATCATAGAATCCCCATCAAAATCATGCGGCCCTGGACCCATATATATCTCCTTTCCCCAACCAAAATCCAGCCCATATATAGGCAGTCTCAGCCAACTCAGAACCCCAATATTAGGGTTTCCATTAAAAGGCCCTCGTTCACTATCTTTAGCATAATGAAGGTCTTGAAACCGAGTTAAGTCTGGTTCATTCTTCAACCTTTCATGGGCTGACAGCACATAATCCATTGTCACCTTCTCGACCGCCTCCCTTATTCTACTCGACGCGTACCCTAATGGCTTTGACAACAAGTCACCGGCAAGACTTGTGGCAGGCATATAAAATACTGCGTTGCCAAAGTAACCTTCGGGCAACTGGGGTTTCATACGACATCGAAAGTCAACGCAAACCATCAATGCCGTTGGCTGTTCATCTTTGTGGTTTCTCGACCTCGATGCACATCTCCAGATGTGTCCAGCCAGAGTCTCATAGCGCGTGTAAGGGCGCTTAGTGTCAGAGTTGTTGAAATTGGTACCCTCATTCGCCATTTGCTTAAGTTTATCAACTTGTTCTTTGGTGAGCCTCAACATGGTTAAAGTTGTTTTCATCTTACTCTCCTGTAAATCATCTGATTGCCCAAGTAAATTCGGTGGTTGGTTGAACTCTATATGGTCAAACACTTGAGTTGGAGCTGGAAGGTGTCGAGCTAAGAAGGCTTGTCCATCGAGAAATGGCATTACTCCAACTGGCTCTCCCCTTGCGAGCTTAGCCCACTCGCCAATGAAATGACACGCACTTTGGCCATCAGTAACTGCATGTGAAATTTCCAAGGCGAGACTAAAACCGCCACATTTGAACCTTGTCAGTTGGACAAACAATAGAGGAAGTTCATGAATTGGGAGGTTGTAGTCTACAGTGGGGAACAGAGAGTGAGATTCCGGAGAAGGAGAGAAATCACCCAAGTCATCGAGTTTCAAATCAGACTCGGCTTCGATGAACTGAACCCCCATGCCATTGCAGTCGAGCTCAAGACGGCCTCCCTCAATCCAACGCAGACGACCTGCTAGTGGATAGAACGGCACCAAAGCGCGGCGTAGTGAGTCTTTGAGGGTATTGGCAATGGCGTCAGTTGGTGTGACACAGTGTTGGTCTGGTCTATAGAAGTAGATAATGCCGACATGAGTTATGCAGCCAATTTGATCCCATTCAGATAGAGTTTGGCAGCCTTGCCATGTTGCTTCAGCTGGCTTCAGTACATAGGAGCTTTTGATTGTGGCTGCCATTATGTTACTTCCTGTATATATGTATGTTATGTTTCAAATGTAGTGACGCAAATGGATAATAATTGATATTATAAGTAATTAGAATGATATGCTCATGTACGTACCTGTTGGCAATGTGATCGATGAATAAAGCGCAGAAGAATTTTGAAAGTAAGATCAACAAAGAGAGTTTTTGAAGAGACAATATAGGCAATGCTTCGGTTGTGTTTTTCAGCAACTGTAGAGGGCTTTATATAGTTGTTGTAAGGAGGACAATCATGATGGAAGAAGATGTTGAGAGAGTAACCATCTTCATGAAATCCCTATATAGGAGTGTTTATTGTGTGATTCTCATCTTTCCTGTCTTAACTATTTACTAAGAATGAGAAAATGTTGGAGATTTTTTTCCATGAAGAGAGTATCGTAATTAATTTAAGAAATAATGAATTCTATTATGGTTTTAATGGAATATCCCTTACTTGGGAATTCTATCATATTTGAACTTTGATACCATTTAGCTATTATAGATTGATTTTTTACCATTTAAAACGCTGGTTCATTCCCCCTCTTCCAGATCTAAAATGAAATATTTGTACTATCACCTTTTATCTTAAAATTTCCTTATTACTTAAGAGACTTGTAGCTCGTGCCCTCCACTCGAGGTCCTAATTTGGATTTCCTCTTCTCCCAATACTGTGCTTCTATAATATATATATATATATATATATATATTTAAAAACATTTCCTTATTACTCTTTCTTATTAAAACAAAAAAAGATAGTTTTGATCGCCGTTTTTCGCCAAAAAAAAATTCAAGAAGATCTTGAGTTTGTAGCCATCTTCATGAAATCCCTATATGAGGGTGCTTACTATGTGATTCTTATCCTTCCTATCTAACTGTTTATTAAGAATGAGAAGATTTTTTCCATGAAGAGAGTGTCGTAATTAATTAGGAAATACTAAACTCGACCATGGTTTTAATGGAACATCCCTTACTCGGGAATTCTATCATATTTGAACTTTTATACCATTTAGCTATTATAGATTGATTTTTTACCATTTTAAACAATGGTTCACTCCCCCTCTTCCCAGATCTAAAAAGAAATGTTTGTACTACCACCTTTTATCTTAAAATTTCCTTAGAGTGCTGCTATTTCCATTCTCTGTTCTATTTTCCCACCCATCTTATCTTCCCACCCACCACGTAAATTTGAAAAAGAGTAATGCTACACTTACCACATTTTTATCTCACATTTCTATACTACATAATGTGGCATGTCCATTGTGGTAACCAAATTAAATCAAAACCGTAGGTCAAATAATTCATTCCATTTGGGGATTATTTGACCTAATTGGGAATTAATCAACCTGATTGGGAGTTACTCAATTTAATTGGGAATTACCCAATTAAATTGAACGTTACCTAATTGGGTTGAGAATTGATTTGATTCCTACCACGATTCCCAGTTAAATGAGAAGTTACCTAATTAAAATGGGATTTAATTTGATACCTACCATAATTAGGGATTTGATTTACCCTAATAAATCAAATCCCTAATTAATCAAATCAATTCCAAATAGGGGAGGAATAATTCCCTTCCATCTACGGAATTATTCCTCTGAAACCCTAGCCTCCGAGACACTATAAAAGCATGGCCACACACAAGGGTTGAGGTACGTCTAAAATCCCTACTGAAACTCTGCAGAAAATTCCTCTCAAACCCTAGCCACCTCCTTTCTCTCTCTCTCTTTTACATAAGGCTCCGGCCGCCCGGTTTACACCATAAACACATCTCCGTACCCTATTAGCTATTGTTTTCTATACGATTCAATTGAACTAATTTAGGCATCGGAGGGCCTTTGGCCAACAACCCTCGGGTGTGGTCCTCTTATTGGTTCTATTTTGCAAGGAGAAGGAGGCGGCGAAGAAGAAAGGGGAATCTTTCCAATCGAATATTCTTGTGGGGAAATTTGTACACTCATCCATATTATATGCTACATCAATTAAATCAATGAGGTGTATTTTAATTAAGGCAATTAGAAAAACAAATACTGGAATAAATCATAAAAGAAAAGAAAATATTAAATAATTTTAATTGATGTGGTTGTCCACCTCAATTGCCACATAAGATGGTATAAAGATGTGGTATACAAATGTGGTAAGAATAGCATTATTCCATTTTTTAACTGGAATCCAACAAATTTGTATTTCCCTTTACCTCTTCAACGAATATCGAGAATATTACCTCTTTTGACTTAATTCAAAAGTAACTCTTTCCCTTAATGCTCGAATCACCAATAACATGGAATTGGCTTTGATTTAACGAATTAATTCATTTTCTTAATCAAGATGATTATGGAAGCAAACCATTTACACACAATGTATTCTTACTCTACAAAAACAATAAAAAATAGTAGACCCACACACACAACACACGCTTTCAACTAGCTAACCCCATTTAGACGTTATGTGTGTACAGCAAACCTAGTAAGACTTTGAAATGCATGGCATCTTTTCTTGATCATATTATTTCGAGGAAAGGGGAAGGAGAGTTCAAACACAGGATGTAAGGCATAAAATAACTTATTTACGGCTCATTGTCCCCTCTCTCTATTTCTTTAGTGATCCTAAAATATGAGCATTCGTTTCTAAATAAAATAAATAAATACTCTTAACTCGTAGAGCTATAACCCCGAGAATAAAGATAACCTAAACAAAGGTTGCACATTGATTTTATTGTGTGAAAGAGACTTTGACACTTTATGCCTTCCTTTGAGTTGCTCTCGTGATTGATAATAGATCTGATTTACTCTAGCACATGTTGAGAACAAGTCCAAATCCCCACGTGATAGCACATGACCCAGGGCCAGTAAAAATAAAAACAAACAAAAAACAATAATATATATACATATGAAATAGAGGAAAACAGAAACCCAGCTGATGCAGGGTGGAAACTTCATTCTTTCATATCCAAATGGAGGTCAAGGCTAACAAGTATTCCTCAAATAAACACGAAAATAAACTCACAGCAAATGAAAACAAACAAACTAAGAGAGCTCTCAAGTCAGGTACCATGGTCAACACCCAATTCTAACATACTCGTCCAGAACCATAACAGATTAACTAGTCTTCACTACCAATTTACTGACTCTCTGAAAGCGGCTTCCGGGCCAAGAAGAAATACATTGGTGTGAAAATCTCTCTCCTGAAAGACGTTCATCAAGAAAATAAATTTCAGTAGCCAATGTATGCAAGCTTCTAGACTGATCAAGGCAAATTGTAATCAAATTTACCATTGTTATGCTCCAATTACAAGGAGAAAATTTAATGGCTTTGCTTATGATAACAAAGGGAAAAAAATTTCCAGTCCAACATCACCACCAGTCAATGAGCTGCCTAAAACTATAATTATGAAGTCATGGCCTGTTGGTTCTTGTTTGAATCCCAGACACAAGATACCTCATATCTTAGCAAAATTACTTTTTCCCATATGAGGTGCATGGAGGTTCAGGTCTATAAAGAGAAGAGAATAAGCGTGCTGAAAAGAACACTTACTTTCCACCTTCTACTAGCCCTTCAGCTGCTTTCTCCAGAAAATCTTGAACCCTTTGGCTTCCTGGTGGTGCAAGTCCAACAAATTCTAAAGCCTTGACCTAAAAAAAGAATATAACTCAAGCACTGATCAACTGCATCAAGTGTTTTGATAGCACAGGAATATTCAATATTCCACATCAACATGCCCCATAAGAAAGTGGGTTTCCAAATTTATTGAACGACCATGATATTCATGAACTCTTACCATGTTTTTAGTAATAAAACGCCCAACAGCTGTTAGACGAAAGCTACTAAATGAAATCCGACTTTTGTCCAAAGGCAAGTACCAAGGTTGAGGTGAGTCCACTGCAAGATCATTCTCCCATATCACCTACGGCCACAATGAAAAGAAAAAACAGAAAATTAAAGCCAATATTTCTTCTGTATATTTCATAAAGAAGGAAAACTTCCTACCAACCTCAAAACCGGCTTGTTTCAAAGCTTCAAGACACTTTCCTGTCAATCTGATGTCTGGGAGGCCATCACCAATCTCAATTTCCGCCTGTGGTCATAAAGTTATTTAATGTATATTCACAATCTAGAATCTGTTCATAAGTAAATTAAGCATCTATCACCAGCTCCATTTCATGCTTCTGGTTTCCCTTACCTTAATTTTTTGATGTTCTTGGTTATTGGGATGGAATGCATCAGTCATGCACCACTCATATGCAGCAAAACATTGACCGGGTTTTAATACTCTGTAGATCTCCTTGTAGCATCCATACTACCCAGAACCAAAAAACAAAAAAAAAGGTTCAGCCAACAGAAACGGGGAGAAAGTATTGAGCTAACTAAAAGAGTAGGAAAAAAGAATGACTTACTGCATCCGGTGCATGGCAGGTAGCTTCAATTGCATATACTGCATCAAATGAATTCTCAGAAAAAGGTAGTTTCATGAAGTCAGCCTGCACCATTTAGAAACACGTACAAAGAATGAAATCTTTAACACAAACTAGTTTCACGTGACTAAGTCTACTGCAGGAAGAAAAAAACAAAAGGTAATTTCTACAAAGAACATGAAACTCATAAACAATACTGCCGACCTTTACAAAATTGCAGGTCTTGTCCACTCCTACGATACGGTTTAGTTCCTGTGAAGCAAACAAAAGCATGATATAGCATTTAGCCACTTTGAAACTGAAGCATTAGAGTTGTCCTTTCTAATATATAAAATAAATCTTCGACTTTCTATTTCCATCGACTAAATTGAGCATTGTCCATTGGACAAACAAATTATCTTGAGATACCATCAAGGCTAATCAAAACAACGCGTCGCCAGTATATATTTACCTTTCCTCTTGTGATCTGATATTCATTGTTGTTCAACCCAGTAATTGATGCTGAGCTGCACAAAGCACCGTAGAAAAAGCATTGTTACAACTGACATCAGCATAACAAGTCTTTACACAAATCACAGTGATATCATCTTACTTATTAAATCATATTTTAACCATAAGCCTAATAGGATGTCAGCGAATAAGGCGTTTTCAAAGTGATTCACCCAGCTAATAACAACCATTCGCTTTGTGTTGTTATAATCAATCAGAACAATGACAATAATCTCATTATTTCTATAAATATACAAAATTATGAATATAATTATTCGGTAGAACCCAGCAACAAAATCAATATTCATAAGAATGAAAACAACTATAGAAAATTAATCTTCACTAGAAAGCATAGTCTGCATATTTGCCACTTCATAATCAAATATTACAGCCACAAGAAGGCACAACTGAAGCCTGAATAAAAGAAATGGCAATCACCTGAAGCGAGCTATTTCCCTCAGTGGTCCTCCAATTCCACAACCTACATCCAGAACCTAACACAAAAATATGGAAAACCAAGTCAATAATTTAACAGGGATCTCTCTCTGGCTAATCTATAATCCACTAAATCTACTTAGTAAGACTAACTTTCTGTCCAGGTTTCAGTCCTAGTTGTAAAGCAAGGAAGTGCTCATGTCGCTTGATACTCTCTCGAAGAGACTCCCCTTTCCATCTTCAAGAAACAAAGACATCTATCAGAAACTCTTCTACAGTACACAATATTTCACTGCTTGCACGTGAAGAGAAGAAAAAAGAGGAACCTGGGTGCAAAGTGGAAAGACTCTCCCCAGCCATACTCATAAAAGCTGGTAACAAGATCATAATATTTATTAACCTGAAATCCACACGAAACCAATTTAGTGAAAATAGGCCACTACCAAGCTTGAACCAAAAGGCCATCCGTTTAAATTTGTAACAATGAGGCGTTAATCCTTTATAATCAAAAGAGACAATGCAAAGGCTAACTTTCCCATATATACATAATTATCAATGTATCTTAATAATCAGAAAAGTTAATAGCTAGTACAACATGAACGACACAGCTTGCCATTCTCTTGGGTCTTATGACACTAAGTAGGCGACTTTATAAGACAACACAGAAACCTTGAGGCCGAATGGATGACCATTACCAAATATATATAGCGAATATATATATGCATTTACAAGTTTGCAGTATTTCTTCTTCTTTTTTTGGTGAGAAAGGGGGCCAAGGCCCAAACAACAAGAAACTACAAAGAGATCCTCCTAGGTCTAGCCAGACATCTAGCATCAGCAGCTAGAATATCAGATAAACCTGGAGACATCAAGTATCAGCAGCTAGAAATCATCCTAGATTTGTAGTATTTCTTGAATATTTGACATATATGGCAGATAATATCTTTCTTTTTACCAGTGGAAAAGAAAACTTTTTTAAAGAGTCTCTCTTACCATGTCAGTATAGTTAGATTTTCTTGCTTCCTCTTCACCTCCATAACAGACATGATACTTCTCATACCTGAACCATTATTCAATAACTAAGATATAAGCTGTTATCCCATAACATTTACACAGGGAATCAGGTTAAAGGATTTCACACTACACCCCAAAAATATTTCGAGGAACTTTACAATGCCATGTATGAAAAGATTAAAAGTTTGGTTACAACTTACATTTAATAGTTTCACAAAATTGAACAAAATGGCTTTCAAATTCTTGTTGCATCACCTCACAACTCAATAACAAGTAAAGTACTTCGACAATATTGTAAATCCTAGTCTTTCATCCCCATTACATACATAACTCATAAAAGTCCACTGTTTATTTATTTGGTCATCCAAAGGACAACATCCACTAATATAACATATTAGTATTGTTTCGTGATTTCAATTTCTAAGTACATCAAGTACTTAATTGCCATGAATGCCCAGGCAAATATCAATATAAATAAATAAATAGTAGTAGTAGTAGTAAATAGAAGTTGCAAAAAATTTCATCTAAGATATTCAAAGGAAAAGCTTTAATCCATTTGGTTAGCTAGATATTCATAACGTGCAACCTAGCACCACATGTTAGGGAGGGACACCTCACCACATCAGTCAGACATTCCCAAAATCACGTGACTCTACAGAGACACTCCCTTACACTAAGACATTCCCTTAGTTCATTGACTAATTGATTCACTAACTCTATGATTCGACATCTGATAATTGAGATTAGCCCAAGTCAAAATTAGCATTAAACCCAAAAGATAAGACAATCTAAACTTCATATAAGTATAGATTAGAGCTCTAGCAGCATGCAGATTAGTAAGAATCAAAAGGGAAAGCCTAAGCTAGAGAGAGAAACAGACTTAAAAAGATATTGGTAGACACAGAGAAATAGTGAAACATCAATCTATGGACAGAAACATAGATCAAAACATCAAGCATTTATTTCTGAGAAAGAAACAAAACCTAAAGTTTATGGTAGAGAGCAAGGCATTAAAGAAAAATTCAAGAGAGACAAACAAAGACCAAAAACATTACTATCATCTTTTTTTTAATTACCAAAAAAAAGACCAAATACATCAGTATCATGGATTGATTGAAGCTGATGCTAGAAAGATAAAAGGAGATATATGGAATCAAAGCTTGAATAGGGAGAAATGTTATAGGCCCAATGGATCATTTTCTAGAGAGAGACAGAGAGAGAGAGGAAGTACTTTTCAACAGCAGAGAGAACTTCGGTTTTGTCAATCTTTCCACCAACACCTGATGCGAGATCCAGTGCTCCAGCTTTCGACATCTCCTCTTGAATTTCCCAAAATCAGAGTTGCGCAGATCTACACAACACAAACCCATTTCATGAAAAATACAAGCAAGCATTTGAATGAGAAACTTTTCTTGATTTTTCAGGAAAAACAAAAACAAAAAAGTGAAAACATGTTTTGGGTATATAATGTGGGATGATGAAAATCAGAGTTTTTACATCAAAAGGAGAGTCCGAGAGAACCCGAGATAAAGGCGAGTCTTTTCGGGGAAGGCTGAAGAGAGATGTGAGAGAGAGATTCGTTGAAGAGAAGCAAATTGGCTATATACAGAGTGAAGACAGTCTCAAAAACAAAAGCTTAGCGGCATGACAGGGAGAGAGAGGTGGCCAAACACTACAGCAACGCCAAATCTCACAATTTTCGCTGTAATTTAGTTAAACAAAACAAAAAAATTTATTTTAATGAAGGGTTTTTTTAACAGATAATGATAAAATATAGGAGTACTTTTGCTCACCATTTAACTTAAAATGTAACCTCATCACCCTTCTCAACATTTAACGAGCAAAAAGATTTCCAACCATAGGTTGAAGAATAGTTATTTACACTGACTTTTTTTTTTTTTTTTTTTTTTTTTTTTTCTAAATTTTTTTACATATGAGGTTTCAAATTGTTTTTACAAAACATTATCTATTAGTTTTCCATTCAAAAATTGTTGATATAATCAAAAAAATTCTCTAAATGACAAATTAGTTTAGGGGTGGGCATTGAGACAAGAAAACTTGAACACCGAGCCACATCGGATGGAAAAAAAATCGAAAATAAACCGTGTTGACTAAAAAGACAATAAACCGGCATCGAACTGAATTAGACCGATTGAAATCGATTTCGATGCTGGTTTCACACTTTACAAAACCGAACCAGACCGACTGTTTTTTTTTTTTTTTTTTTTTTTTTAAATTATTTTAGTCCAATGCTAAATTTCTAATCCGATAACTATTATTTCCCTAAACCCAACTTCAAAGCACATTTCTTTTCTAAGCACAATCATCTCTCTTTGCATGAAATTGGATCATTTGTGAATTTTTAAGCCTAAAAAATAAAAAAAAATTAGTTTAGAATTTGTAAAAAAAAAATTTAAAAATATATTTAAAAAATCCGGTCCAAAACCTGAAAAATTGAAAACCACACCGGAATTGGTTTAAACTGAATTGGCCAGTTTCATAAATTTTTTTCACCAAAATCGGACCGAACCACACTAGTTAAATAGTACCAGTTCCGATTCCAATGTAAGGTAAAAATCGAACCGAACCGCGCCCACCCCTAAACTAGATTGCACATACATCTCATTAAACTTATTCGTATGTTCATATAAACCTTCAATTTTACAATGGTTTTGACGTAACCCTTTCATAAAAAGACGAACATCATGGCAATATAATAAATAAATATTTGCTAAATGAAATAAATTTTGTCCTAAATGAAATTTTTAGGTAGGTATAATTTTCTCAATAAAAAGAATGGATTGATCAAATATCTTTGTTTGCAACGAGTGGTTTCAGGTTCAAATACTTGTGGCACCTTGGTATTGTGTGTGAGAAATCCCCTCTCCTTGTATTAAAAAATTATATTATTCTTAATTTAAAAGTGGTTTTCCAAATTGTTTTTCACTTTTTTAACAAAACATTGACATAACCTTCACCCACATGTTACTCTCCATAAATAAATAAATTAATTAATTAATTAAAGGAAAACTTCTTTGCCTTTTTCTTTCAAAAATTAGCAATATTAAAAAATGAGACCTGATTTTCCCACTCCAATTTCTCCACTTACACTCCCTTTTATTTTTTTAATATTTTTTTAATCAATTTTGTTCTTTTTGTTCTTTCTTTTTCCTATTCTACCCTTACTTCACTTTTATATTATTTCTTTTCCTTATACTTAATTTTCCTACTTGAACTCTACTTTCAATATATATATTTTCAATGGATGGATGAATTCTTTAAAATTAATATTTTTAAAAATTCCCCAATTGAAACAAACCCCTCATTCTCCCATTCTCTTCGTCAACCTTCCCCTCATCCCATCTCTGCACTTTAGCCCCACTGCCATCCACCACTGCACTGCCCCTCATGCCCAATAGACAAGCCACACTCAAACCCTAAACCTCTCTTAAAAACCTGAATATGGATTTGGTTGTTGAAGAAAGAGAGGGGAAGAGAGAAAAAGAGGGAGAGAGAAGAAGGAGGTGTGGGCTTGGTTGTTGTTGAAGAAAGAGGGGGCAGAGAGAGAGAGAGAAGACATAAGGGTGGATGCATAGGGAAGAAGAGATAAAGGGTGGGTGGGGTTTGGGATATATTTTTTTGGTTTAAAAATATTATTTTTAAATAATTCATTTTTTTTTCACACATCAACACCTCTCCAAAGTATCTCACTTGCCACGTCATCAAGGCTAAAATAGGAAAGAGGAAGAACACAAATAAACAAAATTGATTAAAAAGTATTAAAAAAACAAAAGGGAAAATCAAAAAAAAAAAAAAAAAAAAAAAAAAAAAAAAAATCACACTATGTTTTACACTCCCACATTTGACTATAACTAAACAACATTGTCTTAACTTCATGAGATTATTTGGGTTATTCAACATATTTGTTGTGTGATAATGAGGTGTTAGTTGGATTGGCCTAGACCTTTGGTTTGCTCCCAAATAGTCCTAGGTTCGAGCCCCATGGTATCCGTGTGTGTGAGTTTCCTTTGTCCCCTTTCCTAACTTTGACACACACAAAAACACATATTTGTCATGTGCTTTTGTAGCAATTTTTGGATGGAATTTTAGTGGAAGGGTTGTGTGACAAAAATTTGAAACCTCAAGAGTGTTAGTATAATTTCCGAAACTTATGGAATTCAGAGAAAACATAAAAATTCTTAAGGTTGTCAGTGTAAATAACTTTATAGGACAACTACATAATGAAAAGATCTCATCTCAATCCACATAATCAAAAAGGTAGTTGATTGACTAATTATTGTTGTGTAATGTGTCTATTTTTATTTTTATTTTTATCAAAGAGAAACTTCATTAGATAAACTTCAACGGTACAATCAAAGACATCAACAAGACATCTAAAATATCAATCCCAAGAGGACATCAAACTAACATGCTAAAAGTAGACAAAAGCCGTAGTAAAATTATTAGCCCACATCACCACAATTAACCATAAGCTCACACAAAGCCACAAACCCAAAGTAACCAACCCTAAAACAACCCATGAGCCTAAACGAACTCTACCACCACCACTTGAAGAAGCGCCTTCGCGACCACACCCACCACTGCATTTGTAACAGATCTGGGGAAAATATGATTTCCAACGATCTACTTGTGCATAAGAGTGAACAAATAAACGAAAACAACCCTGCCAAAGAACAATTTAGCCTCCTTCAAAGACGATGTAGAATCAAATTTAGAGAACATGAGTGGCATTGGAGAGTGGGTTTGGGAGAAAGATTTGATTGAGAACGTAAACTAAAATGGGTAATGGGAAACTTCAATCTAAGCATGGCTATAAAAAAAAATTACCAAAAGAGGCTTTTTATTCAAAATGCCCTAGTGGACTTATTCACTAACCTAAAAGGAAAAGATGAGAAGAGATGAGGGGGAGGAGGGGCAATGTTGCTTTTTCCTCCTCCCTTCTCTACGGAGTTTTCCTTTAGGACTCATAGAGGGAAAGAGCGACTAGGGATTTGAAATTGCATTTGTACTAGCTCATGTAATGTGTCAATTAATCCACCATGGTGACAATTTTTTCCTCCAACCATGTAATTTCTAAATTTTAGACTCTGTTTTCATTCATTGTTTAACAATTTTTTTTAAAAAAATTTTATACATTTTATTATGTAATAGTTGCATTGATTCTTCTTTTCTTTTCTTTTTTAAGAATTTATTTGCTGTAAATTTTTAAGCTACATGTATGTATAATTTTTTGTAAAAAAATAAAATTGTAATTGAATTTTTTTATAAAAAATGGGTGAGAGAATAGAAAAAAGGGGGTGAAGATAGCGCCACTCATCCAGTAACATGAAAATGTATGCTAAATCGTTATTTAACACTTTGAAAGAGCTAATGAGTCGTGAAAGACAGAGAATATACATGAAGAGAAGAAGCATGTATAGATTATGAGTAATGCTACAATTACCACATTTTTATCCCACATTTCTATACCACATGATGTGGCATGTCCATATTATATGTCACATCAATTAAATCAATGAGGTGTATTTTAATTAAGGCAATTAGAAAAATAAATATTGGAATAAATCATAAAAGAAAAAAAACATTAAATAATTTTAATTGATGTGGTTGTCCACCTCAGTTGCCACATAAGATGATAGAGTAATGCTACACTTACCACATTTTTATCCCACATTTCTATATCACATGATGTGGCATGTCCATATTATATGTCACATCAATTAAATCAATGAAGTGTATTTTAATTAAGACAATTAGAAAAACAAATACTTGAATAAATCATAAAAGAAAAGAAAATATTAAATGATTTTAATTGATGTGGTTGTCCACCTCAATTGCCACATAAGATGGTACAAGGATGTGGTATACAAATGTGGTAAGAGTAGCATTATTCAAGATGGTATAAAGATGTGGTAAACAAATGTGATAAGAGTAACATTATTCATATAATATGGACATGCCACATCATATGGTATGGAAATGTGGGATAAAATGTGGTAAGTGTAGCATTGCTCTAAAAAATGTCAAAATTTTTACATTAAAAGAAAAAAAAAATCAAGACTTATATTTTTTTATGGGAAAAAAAAAATCATGACTTGTCTAAGGTCATGAAAGAAAAAGACTCGTCTAAGAAATATTACTTCAGTATATGCTGCACTTGGTTGTCATGAAAAGTTTAGGCATGGGGAAAAGTATCTTGACTAATGGGAAAATAGCGGGAAAATGAAACCTTCCATTCACCTTGACCTTATTTTTCCCGTCCATAGAAAACCAAAGACAGACATTAGTTATAT